GAAAATATGTAAAGTTGAAGTGTGGCTCTTTCATTAGCTCATGAAAAATAACTGCTCAGCTTGGTCGTGCGTTGGTCACACATGCAGCACGATGATACACCATGGACCAGCTGGCATACCTAGATTTATGTTTGTTTGTATATGCATGGCATGGCAGTCTGTCTGGGTGGGAGCTGTGGCGTGCAAGGGCCTTGGGCCTTGGTGCGTGGTGTGTCGGGGAGAGAGGCGTGGGGTGGAGTTTCGGCTGTGTTTATATTATGTGAGAAGAGTGGGGTTCTGGGTGCAATATGTGAGACTATAGGCTACGTTGTACGCTTGGGAATATCAGGTGTTGTAGACTTGAGCTGAGAGGTGGCCAGGAGATGGCAGTGGAGCAATGGATTAAATCTGTGTGGAAATTCGAGTGTCATATCCTCATATCTTTGTGTTTTCCCTGGGCTTTCCAATTTCCTCCTAAATGCCGAACACTTCTTTAATGGAATTGGCCAAACATTCCATTGCAGGACCCTTCTGAAAAAAAGAGCTTTGAAACTCAGTGAGGCTTTTCTGAATCAATAAAGGGAATTATTATTGTTATTATTAGTGCTACAGATGTGATGTAATGTATGGGTGAGGGAGTAACATAAGGCTAAATGAGAGGTTACAGTTAGGATCTCTGTTATCGCAGCAGGAAACATGAACTGGAAAGTCATTCAGCAGCACAGGACATGACGCCTGCCTCTCTGCATTCAGCACAAAGACGCTCTGTTACAAAAAACCCCTGCAATTCTCCAAGGTTTCACGGGCAAATAATAACTTTTACAAAAAATGTAGTCGTGCTTTTATGAGGTGATTTTTGGAAACCTGGAGGGAAGGGTCTTTTAAAACATTTTCTCTCTATTTTTGTTGTGCGTATAATTTCGCTCTCACAGATGAACGTCCGCACAAGGGATTATGAATACCAAGTGTGAAGGGCAGCACGAAAGCAAAATAGCGGCGTTTTCTTTCTTGTGACGATCTACTCGGCCCACAAATTTCAGCAACCCGGGAGGTATTGCCAGCTGAAGCAAGTTTCTCTGCACAACCATTGATTTGTGATGCTTATGCACACACGCACACACACGCGACATGCATGACTGCTCCCTGTTCATGGAGAGGACAAAAAAAAACTTGAATCTTTTTTTCACCAAGGCCACACATCACTGCAATTCTTTCCCTACTTCAATTCTGACAAACGACCTATATCCTGACGCCTAACGTGGAATTTTCATTTTTAGACCTCCATTCTGAAGGCTGTATTTCCCTTTCTTTGCAGTGGTATGTATGATGGTTCTACAACTTGGATGTTATGAAACTACTGGATCGTCGCTTTGAAAAGCTAAATAAAATATTGGATTTATCGTGTTGATAAAAGCAAAACAAAGTAAAGTTTACTTGTGACGACATGAATACAACACAGGAGGAGCAGACAATCAGCCATTCAAATCTTGTGTGGTATGAGGCTGTTTCAGATCTCACGTTAGGCTGCTTAAAGACGGCGTTGCGCGAGTTTTTAAAACGTACGATGGAGTTTTTGTGGAATAACCTCCAAGGAAAGACGACCTTTTAATGGCTAGCGTGTGCAACGATCGTTTTGAGGCAAGCTCGGATGCAAAGATTGACAGAGCCACTCTCTGCTCAACCCTTCACTCACCCTTCGTTCGCCCTTCACAAGAGTAGGAACTTGGTAAACGTGAAGTTGTATCCCTCTGTCGCCTCAATACAATCCTTCGGCAACCACCCAACGCCGTTTTATTAACGATCGAGTGCACTGTCTCCACAGCACTTCTCGGAAGGCCATTTCAAAGATCTACAGCTCGTTGTGAAGACAATTGCCTCCCAAACTCCCAGATGAACCTTTTTTATTACATATTTTATCCTTTTATACGGCGAGACAACCAGACCTACCCATGTGTATTATTTGAACCGTACGTGGGGGGGGGGGGGGGTGTTTCGTGTGCAAATGCCATTGGACTCGCTTACAACAACAATAAAAAAGGCTTTATCCGAATGATCTCTCAGTCTGCTCTACTGCAATGAAAACAGTCTGAGCCCTCCCTTGTCTATAGCTCACCACCGTTGCTCAGTCATAAACCAAACTCAGTTCTCATTTTTGTGTTGTTGTTGCACTGTGGTAAACCAAAGCAACGAGTACACACACGCTCCACTTTCAAAACGTAGCTGTAAGTATGTCATGACAGAGATTAAATGTAGGGTTAGGCCATGTCATACGATTCTTAAGTTTTGGCTGAAGTTTGTGCTGTACAGTATATATTTTCACTGACCAGTCAACAGATATATAAGAAGAAAACACGTACAATACAGAGTTACGTGATGGTTTTAATTATACGTCAAGTGTTATTGTCGAGGGTCAGCCACCCAAAACCCCAAAGCATTTCTCTCTGATAAAGAATAAGATACGTGATTCTACCTTTTTAAAAACGTACGGTAGTGACGTGTTGCGTCATTGCAAACCTGTAAAATTGAGAAGGGGGAGTGAATTTTCTAAAGTTAATAAAAAATCTTAACATCAGCATGCAATTGTTCTCGTGCCAAATAATTAACATATCAATTCAAGACGACTGTACACATATGCGCGATGCAACTGGAGATATAAGAAACGTTGAAATGCAGTTGCAACCTCGTTGCCCTCGGAAAGGCGAAACATTACGGATGCAACGTGCCTCCCACCACTTTACCGCCCTTTGAGAGCAAAAGCATTCCCCCCTTACGATAGTTGATGTTCCAATTATATTCTCGCAAAAGTTTAAATTGGCCGTTGGCATAGCAGCATGCGAACGTGAGCGCACGTGGGTTATCTGTGCTGTATTCAAATGACTGCAAAAAAAGGGGGCTTGCATTCTAGCTTCTGGTGAAATTAATTCGCATACATTTACGGCGCATCGAGCACGATCTCGTCACGTCTGAGAAGCTAATCAGAGTTTGCGCCTGGCTCTTGCTTTGCAAACGAGCGTCCACCACGCGCGAAGAGGTCGTTCGTAGGTTACGTGGGTGGGCAGCCGTGGGCAGTGCAGTACAATGTTGTTGTGCAGTGCTGTACTTTGATGCGTCTGCATCTTACGGATTCACCCAACTTCACCGACCCGTACTGACCAGCTGAGTAAAGTATGGTCAGATACCTACCGCGAAATGCATGGCGTTGGGGAAGTCTTCATCCAGCAGTGGATTGACACAATAGTTTTACATATACAGGGCCTGGGAGGAAGAGTTAAATGAAATGCCTTTACTTTGCAATCCACACGCTGAACACTTGGCTTTTTTCAGTTTGTTTTAACAAATGTACCAAGGAAAAAGCGAATGAGGTATTTTGCAGACTATATCATATTTCCCAGATCATAAGTTTGGGTCCTGTACAACAGCAAACAGACCTTGTCAGAATCCAAATACCATCGCACTAAGCAACTGCGGGAGATGCTGGGACTGATGATTTAAAACTGCAGTTCTGTTCAAAATCCACGTGTATTCATTAATTACACGTTGCAAATTGCAACACAATTGTTAATTGTGGACGAAATAAACAAATAATGTCAAATCGGTCAAACGACTCTACTCGTGAAACATGGCGACGCAATTTGTTAGTTTGCAAAAAAAAAAACCCCAATCGCTGTAAGTTGGCATGTAAAAGAATAATCGTCTTCACGATTGTCGTCTTCACCTGAAGACGATTGCTTGTGTTGGGATCGAAACGTCGTGATATTGTTATTATTTGGATTATTTTCTCTATTTACGTGGCTTTACCGAAAGACCCAAGGAATATGAATTCCTGCAGTCACGAAAGCTTTAAGTCAACATTGAATGCGTCATATCTTTGCTGTTGAATGCTCGTCTCGGCGGTTACGTGTTTACAGTGGTGATGAACCTGCAGGTTGTGGGGTGCTTGCTAATTGCCGTTTTATTCCTTTTATATATTCTTAATTGGGTCCTCTGAGCCATAGGAATTTCCATTAACTATCAACAATCCTAAAAATAACAACGCTTTGGAGAGCACACAGAAAAGTAATTGGAAAATGGAATTGCATTCGGGGGGGGGGGGGGGGGGCTTAGCTTTAACTGGTTACGGCAGAGATTGAATCAATCTAATTGTAATTGCTACAATTACTCTTTCGGTTTGTGCGAGCAGGCCCCACGCGACTGGCTTCTACCGTCTTGTTAAATCACACAAAAGCGCGAACATCAACTTACGAAGAAGTGGGCCCGATGATACGTGTCCACACAGTGGCAGTGTAAACCCATTTGGGTGGCGCTAAGCATAATCGTGTTGTGGCTTCCCCCCCTCACCCCCTCCTCCTTGCAATTAATGCAATTTCTAAAGAGATGACATGTGGTGACATGGAAGCAACAGGAGAGGTGTAGTGAGAGAAGCATGATGCAGACAAAAGATGAGTGATTTACTGTAATTGGCTTTTACGGATCTTAATTGAAGCTCATATTTAGAACCCTATATTTTTTTAATGAAATGGGGGGGGGGGTCCCTTGAGCTCCTTTGGACCCGAATATTTTTTATTGGTTTGCATCTGCCCAGCGGCCCCCCCTCCACCCGACTGGGTCCACAAGAACACCGGTGGCTGGATTACAATCACCGCACAACCACTCAACTCCTTACACCTGGGGCGTGTTCCTCTCTTCCTGTCCAAAAAAGGGGGACTTCCCGGTCACACGCTTGCTTTGGTGCCAGGGCCCGCTTCATTTGTATGCGTGAGCCGTGGTGACCTGTGCGTTGTCAAGAGAAAGTTTGCCGTCACTTGATTTGTGATGGTTATGGGGGAGTGGTGGTGGTGGTGGGGGGGGAATGCCTTGGGGTCGACTTCAAGGTATTCTGTTGGGCTAGAAAAAAACCCCCTCCATTATCTCGCGAGAGCACACGCACGCGCGAGCGCTGGGGAGGTGGCCACGTGTGACCAATAATTCGCATTTAAAATAAGAATCAGCCCACACTCAATTCAAGAGCCCGTCACACCGTCTTGTCTTTATTATAAAACTTTAATTTATTTGCATTCGTGGCTTGAAGCAAATCGAAACCATGAATTGGGGTGCCCATCGAGTGAATATCCTAAAGGCCTTTGATGCACGAGGTTACGCATGAGCTGTTTTTGTAGACTTGGTTTCAGGGGCGATCTCTATGGAGCCCAGTTTAACGTACCCAGCTCTGCACGATGGCTGCACACGGAAATATGTGGGGAGGGTTGCAGCGCCACGTTGAATTTCAGCTGCAATTGGGGAGGTCGTGTGACCTCACCGCCTATCATAATGCACATCTCAGTCATCAAATTGACGTCATCGCTTAGCACTGTGACCTTGATGGAATATGAAAAACAGGGGAAAAGCACTTCGAAAGTAACGAAAACACAATGTCTGAAAAAAAGCGTTATGAATTAATATTTTTATTTCAATAGAAATTCTACGCAGCTGTTAATTTTTGTTTTAACACATAATTTACATTTTGTACTTGCATCTCCTAGATGTTACTTTAGGTTTTGTATCCATCTTGATTGGCTGACAGGGCCGTGTCGTGCATTTTCTCGAAGCGGACTTGTGCCAGGTGCAGACTGCGATACATTTTTGAACCGTGGTCAACGAGATCCCATCACGCAAGGCGTGCGACGTGGCGTCACACGCAACGTCACAAGTAACGTCATTACGAGGCACACGTGTGCGGTGTGACGTCATGACGTTGGCCGAAAAGGCTTATCTATTTAGTTGCAATGCCGTTATCGCTGGGGTGCCGGCCTCGCCCATGAACTGCATAGATTTCCACAGTAGAGCTACGGCGCCTCTTACGATGGCGTACACTGAGGTTGGAAAAGCAGGTACCGCGTATCCTGGTGCATAAGAGGCCTTAAGTGAATGAGCTACATGTATAGTGGTGGGTACGGACAGTTATGGGTGATCTCTGCACGTCAAAATGTTCCTCTTGCAATACGTACAATGGTCAGCTAAGTGTCACAGCAAACGGAGAGCGAACGGGAGCGCATTTAACGTTTTAAGGAACGGGGTTTTATGTCGGGAAAGGGTATGGGGGGGGATTTATGTGTTCCCGCTCTTCAAAATACTGCTTGTCAAAAACACGATTCATTAAAAAAAAAGTTTAAAAAAACCTCCGGCTTAGCCAGCAACAACATGCCTGTAAAACAGTGAAACACACTACAGCATCATTTTACATGCGCATCCTGGAATAATCCCGGCAAGGCCTCTGCGGGAGAGCCTAAAACGTGCTCTTAACGGACGACGTATTTACAAAGGGTGCTACAAACAGATGGAAATACCCATTGCTTGCAGAGGCCTTGCGTTATCGCACATCCTTTACATTTTTTAATTACATCATTTTTGACTGTACAGTTTACGTTTTTATTTTCTGTGTGTGAAAATTCTATCCTCACAATTTATAACGGTCCCCCCCCGCCCGCACACGGTACGAAGGCAACGAGTCAACAGGCTGCCTGGCATACCAATTACAGGGACACCTCCACACATCTGGCTTGTACTAAATTTGTTTGAACAAAAACGATAACGAACAGAGAATGTCACTGTAACCGAATGAACGTCGGGTAAAAAATTAAACAGGAGAAAAAGGAACAAAATTATTGTGCTTATAATCTATCTGCAGTGCAAACATTAAATAACAGTGATTAATCAAAAATCAATGTCGATGGCACGAGTCCAAAGAAACATGAAAATAAACGCCACAAACCCAAAACATTAGTTTTTTTTTGCCAACGCAGACGGTGGCGGTGACGGGAAGACATGGACATTGCAACAAAAGGACGGGAAAACTTGACAGTGGCCTTAGTGAGAACAGAGTCCACTACTTTACCAGATTCCACATGGCTTATAACACAGAAAAATCCGGTTTGTTTTAAATATCGTCGTAAGGGTTGCCAGCCAGGTCCTTTGTCTGCGGCCGAACATTTTTTTTATGGCCGTTTAGAGCCGCTAAATAACGCCGAACAAGTAGGAGACTTCAATTGCACCATTATTCCCCCCCCCACCTGCCGTATCCAGGAGGCCAGCACGACTCAGATGGCCATCCACTCGAGTGCAGCTCACTCTGCCAAAAGACACAAAAGGCATCAAGGGATTAGTTCAGCTTTCAAGCAGTGGAAAGGGCAGAGAAAAGGCGGCAACAAACATAAAGAAAAACGCAACTATATCTAGACGCCACCACGTTGATGAAATACTAGTTTCACAAAAAATATTAGCGCACTGAAAACGAAATCCTGAAATCCGATGACTGTCGGTGTCATTTGTTAGACCCCACGCAGGTTTGTTTTGGGTTAATAAAAATAGAGAAAATGGCATCGTCACTGCGAATGACAAATGGAAATTTTCTGCAACGAGAATGCTTTGTTAGGATGAGGAATTTTGCCGACGTGGGCAGCTGGGTGCTGATTTTATGGTTACGCTATCGCTACTTGTTTTTGCCTGGGAGCTCACCATTTCTGGCTGTTTCTGCCCTCCTGCCGTTGGCAGAGCCCTTTCCTCCGGGGCCCGGTAAGGAGCTGTGAGCAGGCACGTGTCCCCTGCTGGGAAAGTACGGCTTGGAGTATGGCATAATATCTCCCTCGCCTTCATCTGCACAGAAAAACAAACAACGAGATGATAGAGCATTTCATGCGAGGGTCAATAATTCACCCAGGAAACACTCTCTAAGTCTTGAGAAGTCGTTTACAGGAAGGTTCCGCTAGATTGGGGTTTATGGCCAATTCCATCAATGAGTGTTAGGCTTCATATGAGAGGGAACCAGAGTATCCAGATACACTCAGCACTGCAATCTCTCTCTGTTCATACCTCTCAGACCCATGCCTGGAACGTCCGGTAAGCAAGTCTCCGTAGTCACCTATCCAAGTACTAACCAAGCTCGACCGTGCAATATGTTTTCCATGACTTTTTGTCTTGTTTGTATGTATGTATGCATCTCTATCCCCAATTTGCACCATTTGTCATGCTTTTCAGTAATTTCCTGTAGTTCATTACCATTCAGTCTTACAGTAAAGATGTCGTCAGCGTATGTGTGAATACACACCTAAAAATAAATAAATATAAATATCGCTCGATTTGTTTTTTTCTTATATCCAAATGTGAATGATTGTACATAACAGTAACTGACAACTATTTTACTAATTACTATGTTAAATTAAATCACATTTATATAGTTTTAGTCCATTTTTCAATGGTATGTAAAAATAATATAACATATACACTCTTATTCGGAAATGTGCAGTTCTATGTGATAGCCAAATACATATATTAGTGTTATTTCAATTACTGTATTCACATTTAATCCTTTATAACGCATGAGAGCCATCCAAGTTTGGAGACTGACAAGGGTATTTTTTTTTGCAATTTATGCCAACCAGGGCTCAATATATGCCCTAATAATGAAAATGTCAAAAAGCTGATATTGTAATTGCTACAATGTAATTACTTACTGCAGCTAACTACAACTATTTTTTACAACTTATGCCAAGAAAGTATCTGTATATAATCCATGTAAAGAACATATCAATTAACAGTTCCGATGTTAGCATTAATTTTAAGTCAACCATACATGACGTATTTGAGTTAATGTATGATAAAATATACACTAATTAGACTACGTAGACGGTACAACAAAAAACATAGAAAAATGTATACATTCAAGTCCTGAAAATTGTAACTACAAATATTATCAATTGCCAGCGTGTTGGAGGAATATTTACGTATACCAGAGGGTACTTTAAAGTTTTCTCAAATTGTAATCTACGATAGTACCTCGTTCCACGACTAGAAAAAAACAATCTATATAAAACTCAATAAACGTTAAAATAACTGCTGGCAGTGACAGTGCCAGGAATCGTGTTGCTTAATCTGTTATGTGATCAGGCTTGTTGGTCATTGTCTTTAATGTGTGCCCTTTTGAGCGGGGATTTTTTTTTGGAACAAGACTGATGACGTTGCATAGTGCTCTTCGAACAAACCGTTTATTGTTTAATCTGCGGCAGAACTCGGATGATTTATTTCACCAACCTGGCACCGTGTCCAGAGTGATATTTACCGTTGTAGTAGAAGTTCATAGAGCCAGTGTACTGGTCTCATGTTGAAACCAACTCAAAAACCTGGCAGCAATTCAAAAGTACTTGGCAGAAAGCAAAATGAGGCCCTCTCTAGGTGCTAAATCAACACAATTACATAACATTTGCCAAAAAAACTTTTAAGTAATTGACGTGATTCCAAAAATAACAAAAAAACTATGAATTCCGAGGTTGCCAAAAATAAAACAATTAAAGTATCACAAGGCTGCGGCTCTGAGCATCCATGCAGGCAGCTCTTTGAGACCTCCTAAATGTCTTGTGTGTCCATAGGTGATCGCAGCTCCTTACCCGATTCATGGTAGAGACGTTCAGCTGATCCCCTGGTTTCACGAGACGCCAGGCCCAGGTCGGAGCCCGTCAGGCCCTTTTGCTGCTGCAGGCTCATCAGCCGCGTCGTGCCCATGGGTGGAGGCAGCGGAGGTGGTGGCAAGTCTGTAACGGTGCAAGGGAAGCCCAACGGTTTGGCATTTATTTTAAAACAGCTAGCTCTCAACAAATTATCCTCTCTGCACAGGACTGTCCCATGGTGCTGCTCATTGGGAAATGGTGATTTTTTTTCCCATTGTCATTTCACCAAATTGTCCCATGGGGTTCCCATGGGACCCCATGGGGCGTTTCTGTAAGAGCTATTGTAGCCAATTACGGCTAAACTGCGGAATTGCGATGTTTTGTGAGTCATGACTTCAACACTATTTAAATGTTAATTATTTCTTTTACTTTAGCTTTCAAAAAGATTGATGTTAACCTTAATGTGATCCGCAGAAAAGCCCCACTAGATTGTGCGCCAAAAGGCTCAAAGCCACATGACATGAACCGAAAAAAAAACCCCCGAAACTACTTTGGCTGTCTCGCCTCTGTCTTTTTCTTTTTCCGTAACAGTGGCGGCGATGTGAATGCCTCTTTTGCCAAAAAGAAAGTAGAATTCGGGAGAAAGAAACTCAGGGAGAGCGAGAGGGAGGGAGCGTGGCATTCGGAGAGAGAGAGATCACGATCGAACGGGAGATAAAAGGGAGCGGTGTCATTGCAGACATTACCGTCCATCTTGCTGTTGCCGTGCTTGTTCTTCTTCCCGGCGCGAGGCCTTTGCCCTGGGCCTCCGTCCGCCGAGACCGGGCTGGGGGGCCGTCCGCGCTGCCTCCCGCCACTCTGGGATTTGCCTGCTGCGGAGGGTGACAGTGCCACCTCAGTTAGTCCCGTTACGTTCAAACCGTTCCTCCTGCAGATTAATCGCCTCCTTTTGTTTTTCAAAAATACTTTAATGAGGCTCGATGGAGGACGGCTTGGGATCGTCTATCGCAAGCTACTTAATTAGAAGCTCATGATGGTGTTGCGTAAGGAAGGCTGTAGATACAGCCGCAGAATGGCCGATGCTCCAAACCATCTGTTTTAGTCTTTTGTGTGTATATAAACGCAATTTATTGCCATATGTTTAAATTCTGTTTTGGTTCGTAGCTCACTTTAAAGGGGTCGATGGTTGTTCGCCATAATATAAATCTTGAGACAAAATATACGAAACACACTGCACGTGCCATGCATTTATACAAACTGTCTGCTGCAGAAATCTGCTAATGTTCAAGATAAAAAGGCAGAATACTTATCCCTGCCTCAAATAATTACAGTAGGTCCCCCCAGGGGGTTTCTCTCAGCACACAGGAGTCTGAAGGTTAAATATGAAATTGGGTTTTTCCTTCTTTCTGCATCCAAATTCACGACGAGAACATTATTCCCTTGTTGTATGTATGTTGAACCTTTTTGCGCACCGTACGTAGCCAACTGTGCTAATCAGAGGTGTGGGGGGGGGGGGGAAGGACAACAAATTAAACACAAAAATCAGTTCTGAAGAAATGAGTTTTCAATGTAGACGATTTAAACATGCAAAGCTCCCAGTGGTTTCCTAATATCAGAAGGGAGAACGTCCCACGCAGTCGCAGAAGCGCGTCTGAAACCACGCGATGCGGTGACCGTCTTTGTTCGACGGCTGACCCAAAAGTCGCCGCCGCCGCTGCTGCTGCGAGGTTGACCTGAGTTGGCGTGTACCCAAGGCATGCCATACTGACGGTGTCGAGCAGAACGCATCCTGAGAGCAGAAAGCGCCGCCGGTTTCCAGTAGAATAATGAGAACGAGCAGCGTCTGCCATTTGTAAATTACATTTTTCCATGGGAAAATACTACGAATGAGTGTGAAAATGAAAAATTAAATCAGCGCATGTTACCCAACTATGACATACGGATCAGAATTAAAGTTAATCCCAGAGGAAATGGAAGATAACCTGAAAAGTACACCAAGAAGCGTGAAGAACGCATGCTTGGAATTACATTGAGTAGAAGACACACATGGAAGACAAATTACGGACAATAGAATGGCTATATTCTTGTTTTTTTCGGTAAAGTCACATAGAAGGGAAATAATAAAATAATACAAATAAAACAAAAGTGATAAGTTTATTGTTTATTTGTATTATATTATTATTTCCTTTCTACGTGAGTTTACCGAAAGAACCAATAATATGAATTCCTGCAGTCACGAAAGATTTAAATCGAAATAGAAATGGCTGTTAAGGATAATAATTGGGCCTAGGCAGGACACATCACTGATAGAGGTTATGATGGCTCGTGGATAAGACTGGTGACAGTACGGCACCTCTGATCAGCACAGTTGGCTATGTATGGTGTGAAATAAGTTAAAATTACACATATATAGAGAAAAGAAGACACACATGAGAGGGCAGCCAGGAAGGAGGCCGAGCTGTGAGATCAGCTCATTTACGGGAGCCAGAAGAACTGTGGCATTGCAGGACCACAAGGGATGGAAAGGGCATGGGAAGCCCTTAACCGTCAGTGGACAGACCGCGGCTCATGATGATGATGATGATACAAATATTACGAGAAGCGTTCCTAAGTTGTGCTACATGAGGCAGATTTCTTGTTGCCTGCAGCAACCCCCAAGTCTATACCATGTGCTTTCAAAATAATCCATCATATTGCCACGTACAATTAATGACCACTAAGCACTGCGTGTAACTTTGGTGGGAGGTGAAATTGCAGAGGTACTTGTTTCATTATAACTGTCCTATTTTTATCTATGCACAATCGCAGTCTCATTGCACATGCACAGAGACATTGGTTACTTTTCAAGGAAAAGACAGCACATCAGCACCATAAAAAACAAAGACCCCCCGTATAGCCTTCACAGACTGTCGGGGCAAGAGATGTTAGCGTGCACCTATGAAGGCCGGCACGGCACACGAGAGGGTGGGTGGCCAACACAACGCCCGGCCGCCTTTGTCTCCCCAGTGACGATGATAACACATTGCACCAGGTACTCATTTGAGGCTGAGTTACAACAACCGCCATTCGCCACCAAGTGGCGGTGACGTCACCACGACGCTTGTGCCAGGCTGTGCACGTTGAGGCCATGTGAAGTGTCGAACGCCCGCTGGCAGGAGGTCACGGGGCAGACCCAGATGCCGCAAGTCGACTGAATGAGACGACTGGCTGATGCACCACCTGTGCCCCCTACTGTGCCAACTTGCTGTGCTTTAGCCACCCGGCGCTCTGCTCGTTGTGAGCGTCGCTCCTCCGCCCTCCGTTGTTGTTGGAGGGCGACTGCCTCCAACTGCCCAGTAGCGTCCTTCACGAGCCTCCTCCACAGAGGTCGATCCTGACACCGCTGGTACCAGTTATCGGCAAGTCCACTCAGCTCCACATCCTCCTGTACCACATCACTCCATCTCTTCTCTAGCCCGTGCCGCGTCCATTTAGCCCCCTCTATCCGGCCAAACAAAAGCTGTTTAGGCATGCGGTGACTGGGCATGCGGGCTACATGACCCAGCCAACGCAGCCTTGTCTGCCGGAGGAGCTCACCGATGAGACTTTGTCCAGATCTTTCAAGGATTTGTGAGCTCCTTACACAATCCAGCCTGGTTAAACCCAGGATGGAACGTAGGCAGGCCAGCCTAAATGTTTCTAACCGGCGAAGATGTTTTATTAGGGGGTCCACGTTTCGCAAGCATAGAGAAGGGAGCGAATGACCGTGGCCGAGAAGACCTGAAGCTTTGTGCGGAGCGACAGACCAGGTAGCTTCTACACAGCGTTACGCAACTGATGAAACGATAATGCCACTTGACTGGTTCGGAGTGAGACCTCTGCTGTCAAACCAGAGCCGGTCATGAGCACACTGCCCAGGAATGGGAAACTCTCCACTCTCTCCACAACTGCCCCATCACCAATTGGGAGTTGTGGGGGTGGAGTGTCTGATGGTACAAAATACCCAGGCAGGTGCTTATTTTTGGTGGGGCTGATGGTAAGGCCCCACCTCTTAGTGACACGCTGCAGGTTCAGCAGCAGCACCTCCAACTCCTCCTCTGAGTGAGCGGCAATTACCAGATCATCGGCATACATAACGTGGTTGACAAATAGGGAGCCATCCCTTGACCGCACCCGGGCATCGATCAGCCTCCCATTGTATCTGTACCAGATAGAAATTGCTCCGGTCATTGAAGGCTTCACGAACTACGTGGTCGAAAAATATGTTGAATAATGTGGGAGCCAGAGGACATCCCTGTCGCACCCCAAGGTGAACAGGGAATGGCTACGACTCCCGACCACGTAGTTTTACCCGGGCCCGCTCACCATCATGAAGGTCCTTAATGATCATGAGCAGCGGGTCAGGGACTCCGAAAGCACGAAGAACAACCCAGAGCCCAGGCCCATTGATGGCATCATAGGCCTTGACCAGGTCAATAAAGCAGAGATGTAGATTTTGTTGGAATTCCCTACACCTCTGCTGTAGCAGACGGCCAGAAAATATGGTATCTGTGCAGGACCGCCCTTTCCTGAAACCGCATTGGGGCTCCGCAAGCCTCTCCTCAGTGTGCCTGGCAAGGCGATGCTGAATAATCTTTGCCAGGACCTTTCCCGGCACACTGAGGAGTGAGATGCCCCTGTAGTTGTTACAGTCTGTACGGTCTGTGTATGTATGCACAATCATACATACACACACATGCATGCAAATTATGTTGAATCAATCTTCTGATGAAGGTGTCACCATAACAGACATTAATTTTTTCTTCCCTACAACATATATTCTGGGGGTTAGCTTACAAGTGACATGAGTCACGTGTTTTTTTTTACACATTACATCTGGCAGTGCAGCCAAAACCAGTTTAAATATAAAGCAGTGTGCATTAACGGTACATATAGGTTTCCAAGAACCAATTACACCAGTGACATTTTGAAACATGTTTGCCAGTCGTGAACACAACTAAGGTTATTACATTACGACTGTATTAAAATAGCTTGTTTTCGCCCATGTCGCAGTGCATGAATCTTCGTTTTTAGCACTTCACTATCAAGTTTTGCATTAGCTCTGCACTGCAATTCCTTTGCAGCTGTTGGTACGAATAAGCTGACGAAAGCCAATTATAAATGGGGTCCGCTACAGACTTAATTGTGTCATTCACTGTGCGTGACCGATAGACGTTCGTGTCACATTTTTTTACCGGCTATCAGCCCTCTCAGCTTACGCAAACTGGTGCCAGTTGGTTTTTTACTCTTCCTGAGGGATTGTGCATTCCTGCCATTGGACCCCTGCAGCCTTCTGGGGCCTTCATATTGTTATTCACATTTTCTTATTTGTAACACATGGCCCGTTTTCAACTGTGCCGAAACAAATATCTCCCAAGTTCCTCGTGGGAATCGAAACATAAAAAAAAACAATTGCTGAAGTGCAAAACCGCTGAGGACACTGCACTGCTTTCCAAAAACACACGTAAAAGTATGGATGTATGAAATTGCCGATGACATTTTTCGGATTATATTTCTCATTCTTTCCATTTCTTTCAAAACTAAGAAAATATATATATAAAATTGCAAAGGGTCCAGATATTTTTTTGGTGCAATGCACGAGGGCTTACCGTCCTGGCTGCGTGGCATGTCGGGTGAGAATCCCCGAGCCCAGCCGTTCTGGCCGAAACAAACCCCGTCCATGTCTGTTACCGCGTCCCATCCATTGGCAGAGCCTGTGGGCCCACAGTGTAAATGGCAGTTTGTTCGGGAGTTCAAATAACGGGGATTAGCAGGAGGTCACAGGCCACCGAGAACCGGTTGGGTTCACGGGGCATTTTGCGTGGAATGACTAATGCTGTCTGGCTTGCTCTTTCAAACAAATGTGGTTTTGTTGAGTTAATTCGTATGAAAAAGCATCATGACCTTATGTTAGGCTAATTTAAACTTTCCATCTGATAAGCCTAGTATTTTGTTGGCATGTGTCTCCCAATATAATTTACATGTTTTTAGTTTTTTTGGAATCCCCATCAGTAGAGAAGTTTCAGCGTCATAATTTTTTTTGTTATGCCAACAGTAGTGGTTATATTTAAAAAAATAAAATATTAAGTGTGGTTATGATTGAAATATATATAAATACAAGTTTGTTTACATACATCTCTTTGACTGTGCCTTGTTATATGACATTATTTCCCCTCCAGCTCCTTGTCATCACTCCGATCTTTATAAATTTAAATTGACCAATCCCAGGGCCCCATGCTGTCACCGATGCCCTTGTGGTGATCAGATGGCCACTGCAGGAAAGACAGTGACGCAGGAAGGAGAACCGGGAGCGAGGCCGTGTGATCCGTTCTAATGGGAGGCAACATGTAGGGGAATTGCACACTGGACATGCAACGGCTCGCAGAACGTGCCCTCCCAAGGCTGTCGTTGACAAGTCACCGAGAACAGTTAAAGAGCCCGAGGGCCCTGTCAAACGACAAACATCTATTAGTGGCCAATTGGAAGTATGTGGCAAGGTTGAAATTCTTTTGTGCGCGTCGGGGAAGCAACTGATGGTAACTTGGCAGAGAGAGGTCGCCAGAAGCCATACGTAGCCACGGCAAACAGAGTTTGACAGAATGCGAAGCCACTCCAGGTCAAGATGCTGCCTCGGGCACCGCTTATGCCTTGGATAACTGATTTTTCTCCAAATCGAGTGGCAAAATGGCAGCACTGACACCTGGCCCTCTGAGTGGCCGGCCAGTCTAGCCAGGGGCACTTCAGTGTGAGGCTGATCATTCGGCGAGGAGGATTTCGCTAAGCAGCAAGAGCATCCAGAAATGCAGTGAGGGCTCTGCGGGGGATTAAGCAAGGTTATAAAGATTGGCTGCTAATCCCTCAGGTCGAGCTGGCATGATGTATTAAGTGAAGTGTGTGTGTGTGTTTTTTTTAAACATAAAAGGGACACGAAGAGAGGGCGAGATTGACAGTACTTGCAAAGTAATGTCCCTGACTATCTCCTATTTCATGAAGAAATTGGAATTTTCTATTTTAGGCTAAAATAAATAATATAAGAAACCAATAACATTCTGGTGATGAATGCTACTGTTTGTGTGGCTGGTGACACGTGTGTGTGTGTGCGTGTGCATGCATGTGTGTATATGGATATTTGTGTAAGTTGGAACAGCGTTTAGCACGCTGCGCTATGAACCTAAGAACCTGTGTTCAATTCCCAGCCACAGCTGGTGTCAGTGAAAATGACATGAATTGGTGTTGGGTATCTCTTACGTCGACTCAACCTTAAACAAGTACCTGGTGCACTGCGTAATCACCGGCACTGTGGGGTCGCAGAATCAGCTAGGCATGGTGCTGGCTACACCACCACCATCGTGTCCAGTTTTGACCTCAATAGGTGCTCGCTAACAGCACTTGCCCCAAGCAGTCTGTGGTCAGCTTTCCCCTTTTCTGTACAGCATATTGACGTGTGATGGCATTAAGACGCTGTTTAAATCCACATTCGAAGAATAATAATATTATTTGCAACTTGTAATGTGGTCGCACAGAATTCGACGACTCTCGTCGAGGGATAACGACTCAGAGGCGCGAGGAACCACAGACGAGCTGGAAGGCAGCCAGATGGTGAGCCGGCACCAACAATTGCCCAAGCTCTGCTGTCCTCTATATTGAGGTGTAATTTGCCACTTTAATGGGTGTTTACATGTCGGAGGAAACTGGAGCACCCAGAGAATACCATGCACGTGCGATGGGGAAACACTCGATGCCATACCGACGGAACAGGTAGAGTCCACGTTTTTCGTTCTACTGCCTTCTCCTGGTACGCCAGAGTATGGCACCTCCTCAACGCCCACTGAAGGAAGTTTCCCAACATGTTTTGCGTTCCGCCGACCCCCGTTGCCTCCGCAGTGCTGGATCACAGGCCCCGTGCATAGCCACCACCGCCTGCATTGTATGCGAATCGTACGTTTACGCGCGGCGGCTCTTACCGTGCACGGAGTTATCCGCATGGTCGCCGTTCGCCGCGAGCGTGTACTCCATGCTGCGCAGCGGCTGGTGCTCGCTGGCTCCTGCCTCGCCGTCTGGGTCCACGTCCTCCAGCCTCTCCGGCTCCGAGTGGCACAGGAGCGTTGTGCCAGGCAAGGTGCACGTCACCGCTGGGCCACCGTACAGGTGGGGTATGGATGGGGCCCTCGGGATGGGCACAAACGTGCCCTGACCGCCACCCCTACCAAAGACACGCAAAGATTCCCTGTAAGTCATCCCGAACCTACGATTAGCAAGGTTTGGCTACGTGCAGTGCTAGTGAAGTTCAACATACATTCATAAAATTGGGGCAAGTGCTGTTCGCGAGCACCCATTAAGGAGAGAACGGCGCACGAGGGAGTGGTGTGGCCAGGGCTCCACGCAGCAACCGTATTCACCTGAGTGGCTGATGTTTACGCTCCGCACCAGGCACTCATTTAAGGCTGAGTTTAACTGGGAAAGGCCTGGTATGATAACACAAGGTAAAATGGCATTTGCAAATGATGGTAGCCATGCCCGTGATTTAAACTCAATTTCCTCGGGCCTTGTAGCGCAGTGTCTGAGCCACTGCACCACCACTCCCCAAACATACACATACAAAATTACAAACAAGTCACAGTCTCATGTTTGGCGTCGCTGATAGTGGGGCAAGTTCTGCTAGTGAGCACCTATTAAGGCGGATATGGCACATGCGTGGGTGATGGGACTAACTCCACAAAAAACTCAGCAACTTTTGTTTCCCAGTGTTGATGTTCGTGCCACAGCGAAATCTTTACTTATTTCAGGTGCAGTGGATCCACACGCAAACCCTGGCTAGGTACACGTGGCACCTGCCATCGACGTGCACGGGGAGTAACTGAGCATGGGTCTCCAGAAAGGAGTGCCACCACTTCCCACTCTAAAGGACAAAAGACAAAGATCCCCCGTATAGTCCTTAACAGACTGTAGGGGCAAGTGCTGTCAGCGAGCACCTTTGAAGGCTGGCACGGTACATGAGGGGGTGGGTGGCCACCACCACGCCCGACCGCCTTTGTCTCCCCAGTGGTGATGTTTACGCACCGCACCAGGTACTCATTTGAGGCTGAGTCGACCTAGGAGAGGACCATGACTGGTTAAGATAATTGTCACCGGTATTTGCCGTGAGCGGGAATCGAACTCGGGTCACCAGGTTCATAGTGCAGCGTGCTAACCGCTGCACTACGGCTCCCCACTCTCATACACAGTCACACACACAGGTGCGTACGTGTGTGCACCACACACACACGTACGCACCTGCAAAGTGAGTGCACATTTGAAACGGTAACACGCAAGCAGCTGGGAAGGCTGCTCATTCTGCATTGATTATCATCATTAGGGGGGCAGCGAGAATGCCGCTGCTTTTAAATCAAATTCATTCGAGGCTGCGTGCGACGTTGGCCATCACCTGCCTGCTCCAAACGAGAGAATTACATTGGGGCCAGTTCCTCGGGGAGAAGCCCGGGAGAGATGTGAACACAAAGTTAAACACCGAACAGAGCGCCGACACGAACAGCATGGCGCGATAAGCAATTTTCCTAGGCGGTAGCAGTAAAGAAAAGAGCAGAGAGAGAGAGAGAGAATTGGTGGTGGGGGAGGGGGAGGGGGGGCGCGGATCGGGTGGAAAAGGAACTGAAGACGAATGCGGCGCAACACTGGCAAGTGCCGTAGGGACCATCCCTTCAATGTGTGGAGATTGGCGATAAGTGCTCCTGCCCAGGGCCACCATACATCACAGCCTTAACCTGCTTCTCCTGCAGCGCCAGCTGCTGTGCCCTTACGCACGTACGCACAGCTCCGTCTGGACGGGCACAAGCGGCCTGGAGCCGGTGACCTTTGCCTGACCCCTGCCCGTCACGGCTCAAGATCCTTGTCGTGGCCTTCGAACCTGCAATTTCAACTTGGCCCTGAGGAGGAGACTGCGTCTCCGCGTCCCCCACCCCCCCCCCCCCCCCCCCCCCCCCCCCCCAGCTTCGGCGCTGGCGCACGCTCGATTTAGCCGGAGCCGAGCGTTTACAGCTCTGTCACCCGATGTGCGGTCAGGCGCGACGTTGAGCATTCAGAATTAGACACCGGTCGTATGTGGTCAACGTTTATCCAACAAAGATGGTTACAGCAGAAGCGCGCTTTCAGATTGCGCTTCTCCGGCCGTCTCGAACGCTCTTCCTTCCGATATTGGGACGCACTGTTAAATCGAGATTGAAAGCTCACTTCGTTGGGGCTGCCATTCGTGTTTCGTTTATTGTTCTTTGCCCGCGCCTCCGATTAGCACAGTTGGCTACGCATGGTGCGGAAGAAGTTCAACGTACAGAGTGCTCGTCGCAACTCTGGGCCCTCGCCAGCTGTGCGGGGTATAATGAGTGACCATGAAAAAAAATGTTTTTGGAAATGAACTGAAACTTTGGTTAATATTTCAATCTCACGTGCGACTATGACGTGCAACGCTTGCACGTGCCCGTAATCATTGATCTCCTTTCGCGTGCGCGTAGCTTAATCGCATGCACACATTTGCATGTTGTGTATCTACGTTCATTCTCCCCTGGAAAAAAAAATAAACCCCATGCTTTACTTCAAATTGCATTGTTGTTCACGGCAAAGCCAGTGGAATATTTATAGCCGTTGAACGGTACCTTCATTGTATTCATGACACTCGTCAAAAAAAAAATCACTTAATTTTATCGCAACAACTGTAGTCGCCATATTCCAACCCATGTCAAAGTGAAGTGATGCTCACTCGTTGATGGGGGCAAATGCAAGAGGCAATAAAACGGCGGCGGTGCCAGCTGCCCGGGTTGACAGCATTGCTTTTTGTGCTGCGCCGAGCAAGGGGCCACGCGGGCGTAGACGGGATTCCGCCGCATAGCCGCCCGCGGTTGCGCTCCGTAGGTGAGCCCTGCGACGCATTTTTAGGTCGTTGCCGCGTGCCGTTTGGCACGATGCCCGACGTTTCGCTCCACGTGCTCGGGAGCTTCTTCCAAGTTCCTGAAGAAACTCCCGGGGGACACGGAGCAAAACGTCGGACGTCACGCCTGAAAGCACGCGCGGAACGACCCCAAAAGAAAATACGATGAAGTATCTTATATGATGTGAAGGAAGCTGGCTCTAATTGGACACACGTGTAGGGTGGATAACAACAGGAAAATGAATAGTGTGCTGTTGAGAAAAATGGAAGGAGCCACAAAGAGTGGAAGCCCTAACAGAGAATGGCTTGACGGCGACATCAGATTGATTGGCGTCAGAAAGTTGCGGCAACCACTTGAGCATATTGGCACAAGACAGATGAAAATGGCAACAAAAGCCGAAACGTGCGGTGGACACCAACGGGCCACCTTGCCCAATGCGGGGCTGCAACGGCGATCCGCGCAGTCGTACCTGTTCGGATGCCTTGCCTCCCCGGGCGACGGCGAACCCAGGTAGCCCACGCCCGCTACCGCGTGCGTCCTGCCACCGCCGCTCGGGCCCTCTCCCTCCTCGCCGCCGTCCCCGTGCAGGTACATGCGCACGGGGAGCGGGGGGCCGCAGTCGTCGCTGTCGTAGCTGCGAGGCGACACATGGGGAGACGGCGGGAATTGGCTACGAGCCACGTGGCTCGGGTCTCCTCCTTCGTGGTAAAGCGAGTGCTGAAGGAGCGACGGGGTTCTGGCTGAGAGCTGCACCATTAACCCCCCCCGCGCCTCCCCCGTACGCTGGAAGGCGAGCACCGATGGGTGGCGAAGCATGCCACGGGGTCAGCGGCAAAAGGGGGGCATTCGGGAGGTTTTTCTGGCCTTGTGCCCCCCCCCCCCCCCAGTTTTGTACTCGCTAATCCATAACTATTTTGAGGATTAGCCACTTTTTGCTCAGCGCTCCTTGTTGGTCCAAAGCTTCTACCCACCACTTACCTGACAGCACAACAATTTCAATTTATATAGCGTCTAAATGCAACTGTATCTCAAGACGCCGTGCAAAGGTGAAAAAATACATTAGGGAAGAAGGGGGGAGTCTGGGGGGGGGGAGTGGGGGGTCAGGGCAAGGAAACACGGGAGAGAGAGAGAGAGAAGGGAGAGAGCAGCATCGTTGCACAGCCTGGAATGGAGCAACTGGAACCCAGCAACAACAACAAGCCTCGTATACACAAGCTGTGCCGTCACACCGGCTTGACAGTCGACTCTACACCTACTCTGACCTCTAGGCTGGATACTCTGACCTCGAGGCTGAGGCATCCTCATTTCTAGCAGTCAGCCTGTGGCATGCATGCCTGCACATTCTGGGCAGCAGAATTGTGTACACATATATAAATATATATGGTAGCATAGCTCAGCGAGCCTCCAGAACTGCAATAATATAAAAAAATGTTACATTTAAATATTACAAATAAAATGAGGGATTATTTAAGTGAAAGCGTCAAGCTCAATAAATATATGCTATCGTTTTGAATGTTCAATACTAAAACTGTGACATAATTAAGATCAGCATTCCATTTATTTTGGTGTCAAGACTCTAAAATTTGACATTTGATTTTTAAAAGTCACTTCAAAGCTGATTTCCCGTGCAATAGATAGCATTATTAACACACGCTGCTTGATAAACACACAAAGCATTTCGGACAAGAACCCAAAGCCATTACAGTATCCAAACCTAGTTTGACTGTCATTAAAAAAAGAACAAAAAAAGGCACTCACAACTTGTTTCACCCTCTGCTATCGGTGGAATGCTTTACATTTGAGAAACATTTGTTGACCAACATTAAAAGACAGACGGGAATAAAAAAAAAAAAAGCTTCCCACTCTTGTATCCAAATCGTGATCCGTCTGGACCATGAGGTTTTCTTTGTTTAGGTTACACTGCTGGTGTCGTGATCATCGTTTCCGCCGATGATGCTGGTCACACAACAAAGCGCGGTGTACCAACAGACGGTGACACAGTTCATAATATAGACCGCGTAAATATAATAACGTGTCGTTAAAACCCGCAACCACCCGACACGGCTAACTAGTAAGGGCTGTCATGTAAGCAGAACATTGCCAACCCGTCACATGTATATATTTATGCGATCTAACCCCAAAAACCTCTATTATGGATGATGTTGGTCGCGAAAGCCTACGTGTTAAAGGTGACAAAGTTGCGCCCGCGGCCATGCCGATTTGCAAAAACGAAAATACCCGCACACCAATCACTTGACCAAGTGCAAATCTATACAGGGCGCAGCCCTAAGTGATCAGAAATCCGTTACTCTACTCCCAACCCAATACGCCAGAGAAGCGGCTCCATTTGTCATCTGGGATAAGATTCCTCGTCAAAAATATGATTAAAGGAGCCTTAATTTGGGATTGATGCAGCCGCTAAACCCCACCCCCCACACCCTCACTACCCCCCCCCCCACCTCACCCCCCACCCTCACCCCCGAGCGCTGCCGCGAGTTGCAGATCGGAGCCGACGGGGACACAAAGACGACGGTGGCAGCAATAACCCTCGTCGTTCCAGAAAAGGGATAAAAATATACAACTGCGCCACGCAGTCACACAAACACCCCATTCCTGAGAGAGGCGCTTTGCCTTAACGTGCAATTAGTTTCCCTTGACGCCATCCGCGCTGCGCATGTAAAAGCGCCGCTGTACGTGCCACACTCTGGATTTTACTTCGTCCCATTTTCATCTTAGTGCACTGACACTTCCCTCACAGGGGCAAAATCACAAATTAAGGTTGACGCCTCTGACAGCCGGTTAAATGGATGTGTTTTCTTAATAATTCATCGCGCAGTCGCCGTATGAAGTCGCTGCCGGACGCGAGCCCGCGGATCAGTGAGCTTGAGCGGAATGCTTTCAGGCAGCCTCTCCACAGCGCTGATGCCAGCCCTGGGGGAAAAAAATACCTCTAGGCAAAGGTGCAGTCCTACAATGATTCGGTCATACCTTCTGCTGGCAGAAGGATCTTTCACCGGTGGAGGCTCTACAGGGTCCCATCTAGATGGTATTTTGGTCTACTCTTCCATGGTGGCCAAACATCTTGGAAGCAGTGGGAGTACCCACACTTTACCTCACCACATTTGCACCGACGATCAACGAACTGTGGCATGCCCCCCCTCCCCCCCCCCCATCTTTAATGCAGAAAAAATCTCCAACTGAAAAATAACTCTAGGCCAGGGGTGGGGAACCCACGGCCCAAGGGCTGGATCCGGCTCTTAAGTTCATTTCATGAGGCCCGTAGCCGCTTTATAAATGGCCCGCTAGCAATATTTATCAATCACTGCAATTATCGTGGCCGCGGTAATCAGGTACAAGAGGGTAATATTTTCAACGTGGCAACACTGTTTCTAATTTAGCCCGCTAATGGTGAGCCCTAAGGTTTGTTGTGGTATTATTGGATAACGCTTGGGTGTACGTTAATGGACAGTATTTGAAAGGCCCATTTGGCCTTCAGTAAAGAGGCGAGGCATTCAATGTCTGCTCTATAGAATACTATTAGAAACAATGCAACTGAAATCTCTAGAAAAAGATACACTTCAAATGGAGAAAATAATGAACAGCTGCTATTGAAAATAATTTTCCAAAACAAGGACCATGGCATTATTAAGACTGTTCTAGGTAGCAAAGCCAGGAAGACAAAAAACTATCAAAATAGTGTAATGTTCACCTCTATAATAGCATAACCCCAATATAAGTAAACATGATGCCAATATCCCCCATATTAAATCCCTACATCTCGAGATTTAACCTCTGGGGTGACATCGCTGCTGCAGTGGTGTTTACATCGAAAGCTCCAATTTATACACCGCTGCACCCCCTCAGACCTTCAATTCCTCACGAGCACGACTGGGGGGAAATAAATAAATAAGTGAACAAGCGAGGGCCCATCCCATCGAACCGTGTAACGTGCCGTCCCGTATTTTGCCTCATGTGCTAAACCCCTACGTATGAATCACTCCATTAGAGGGAAAATGGAGACAAATGCCCTAAATCAAGGCGATGATTGAAGACATTTCCAAAGCTACATTGAAAAGAGAAGCTATGAATATTAAGTGTGGGTGCTGGGCACGTGGCACGGTGGGGTTGCAATTTTTTTCCCATTTAGCCGGATGGCTGGGGAGGAGGAGATAATGTTCACTGCCGAGATGGTAGGACTCTATTAAACAGGCTATTAGATTAATGGGAATTTGTACACGTTGCTTTGCATGTGGGGTTATGCGGCCCGCTCGCTGCACACGGACACGCTCCATAAACTACGGGTGGAGGGGGGAGTGGGCGATGTGCAGTCGCAGAGGACTTTCCGCCGCAAATTATTACCCCACAGAATAGCAAGATGCCCGGCCTATAGAAGGCTTGCTACGCCACACCATACCGTTTAATTAATTGGTTTTAAGTCCCGTGGTCTCACGTACTGGGTGATAAGAGGCTTGGAAACATGGTCAAAAGGCCGGGTTACAAATAGTTGCCGTAATTTAGTATTACAATCGTTTATTTAATGTTGCACTTACGTGCAACCTCCCATAATTCCACACATTTCTCAATAATTACTGACCGATGTTGTCCTCCGTAGTTGTGATCCATTTCTTGCCAACTGCAGCAGCAGTATATATGTAAAAAAAAAATCGTAATTGTAGCTTTCAATCTCACGGTTAAAATTCAATAGGACGCTGTCCAACGAAACAAACAGAGGCGAGTGAAATAAAGCATGTTGGTGCATTACGCTTTTAGCGCATTCGAGCAAATCCACTAATGAGAGCTCCCCACACATGAACGCACCCGTCCTCCTGGAGACCTCCGGACTGGTCCATGTTGCAGCCCGGAGGGAGGTGAGATGGCGGCGGTGGGAGGAACTCGGACCAGTTCACCCCGGGGGCCTTTGCCGCCTTCGTTTTGCTCTTGGACTTCTTTTTTCCGCGGCCACCTTCAGTGAGCAGAAACAAATTCAAATTGACAACGGCGGTATTTATCGACGAGCTCAACGTCAATAACACAATGCTGCAATATAATAAGAACGACGCAGTTAATTTACGCAGCAAATCCTCACTGAAGGTCCTACTCCTGATTTTTTTCGTAACTACCAATTATTTGCGCACTAAGTACAAAATTCACGAGTTTATCTTTTTTATAGGAAAGTTCAGGAACGTAGTTGCCATACTACCAACTAGCGACGACCTCATAGCTCTGCTTGTTGATTGTCTCGTGCACACAACAGGGTTGGCACAATTCAATTACATTGTCGCTGCGACAACAGCAAAGCCCGGAGAATATAAAATAACTACAAAACAATATATTGCAGGCATTACACAGGCCTGGGTTGTCAAGTTGACCGCATTGTACGAGTCTGCCAACAGAGATCTGGCCGCCGACTCGTGCGATATTAAAACTCCAGACAGGCACATGGCTTTGGAAGGCAAACAGAGACGCGGGCTGACACGTGCGGTGAAGGTTTTACCCTCAGCGGGAATGCGTCCAGGCGCTCTGAGTGAAGCGGCGCTGAGTGGTGCAAGCCGACAGTTTTTTTTAAGAAATGAAATTGCAAGTTGCCTGGCCCCCTCGCCACGGCGACCCCTTGGTGTCGCGTCGCTCCACCACTGGCACGCTCATCAGGGCGCCCGCTCGGTGCGCTCATGCATGCCTCCGTCTGGGCCAACGACGTAGCATTTTGCCAGAGGGCCCATCGTATCGCCAATATTTCACATGCTCAAAATGTGCGTAATTATTTTTTTTTTTTAAAAGATTGTACTTCACTGTAAAAAATAAAGCGATCAGTGTATGTATGTTGAACTTCTTTAGTGAGATTTGACCTGAATCGTTTTGACCACCTGCACTGCAAATACACTCTCGCATTGATTGTACCACCAACTTAGCCTGACCGACTGCTGGGCCAGGTATTGTAAGCGAGAGCCTATTAAAGTCGGCATGGGATCTAATGTGTGCTACAGTTCGCCGTACAACACATGCTTAGTCACCTTTGTCTCACAATTGCTGATGTCGGACGCAGCGCACTAGGTGCTCATGTAAGGTTGAGTTGATCTAGGGGAGGCTTAGACTAGATTCAGATACGAATTACTACTGGTGTTATGCATTGGCAGGAATTGCAGCTGGAAGAGTTGTGTTTGTTTAGATATATCATCATATTTACTGTCATAATCATACATATTGTCCACTGGTTCTCGTATGATTTGTAAAAAAATGTTTCTTTGCATCCGGGTTGCTCGGATTGTAGCAGCCTGCTCACCCCTTCACTGCCGCTCTCTCCGTGTGCAATTATATATTTTCGTTTTATTTCTGAACCGAACAACAGTAGCTGTAGCGGCGTCTTCCCAAGAGGTCCCTTTTCAATACTGAAAATGTTCTAAAAAAAGGATTGCTGAATATTGCTTGAAATCATCGCCTCTGGGTGCAAGTGGCAGTGTTTATGATCGGGGATGGATGTTGGCAGTCGACAAAGGCAAATTCACACCCATGGGCATTTGTGGTTATGAGCCCCAAAATAGTGATACTTCAAAGCACGAGCTTTCAGTTAAAAACGGATTTCTCTTTTACTTTACACAAGCTTCGGGGAACAGAAAAAGATAGCGTACTACGACAGGTCAGCAATGTGCGCCACAATTACGCATGGATGCATGCATGCATGCGTGATACAACAAAATCCAATTAAACTTACAAGATACTGAAAAGAAAAAAAACAGAGGCAGCCGGGTGGTTCAGGGTCGTCGTGCCGAGTCAGGACCACTGGGTTCGAAACCTTTGGTTCAGCCAACCGTAGATTAAGCCAGGTTCTTAAGAATAGCACTTCATCACCAATTAGGTGGGGGGGAAAAAAAATTTAGATGTATTTTTACACAATTTAATAATAATAATAATTTACATTTACTTGTAAAGGCGCCTTCCAGATCTCCAAATGAACTGTTTAATTCTCGTGAGATTTAAAAAAAAAAGTATCTCGTAGCAGAGTGCATGGGAAAGTGGGAGGCCTGCTGTTAATAAAAGGCAAAGTACAGGATATTTTGGAGATAAATTGTGCTAAATTTATATTATCTAGCCTTTTTGCAGAAGCCCACACAGGCCCCCACTGCTCAGTGAGATTTCTGAATGGATTCATCTAAAAAACATTATGCCAATAGCACAACCGGAATACTCTTAAACAAAATAATAAAACAAAACTCACAGCATTATGAATACGTAAGACAAATTCTCCACGTGATGGGTCAATATAAAAGACCTTGGATGTTAACCCCCGTAACCCTGCTTGTCACTTGCAAAATTTGGCAGTGTCGCATACAAATGACAATGTTGCATGCATTCCCGTGGGCATAGGTGTGATTTTTTTCTAATGTACCGCATGACAGACAAGCATGTTTACAGACCCTGAGTTGACACATTCAAGCAGATGCATTAAATAGACTCTGACTCCCCTTAATTGTGTTACCTTAATGAAGGCAGATTAAGGATCTTCCTCATTTATCTAAAGTAATCTGACTGTAGCTTATGTCTTCTTTGTTAATTACATACTCGTATGTATATATGCTTATCAATGGGAGGGGGGTGGGGTGGGGGAGCGGTGGCACAGTGGTTAGCACACTGCGCCATGAAATCTGGAGACCCGAGTTCAATTTCCGACGACCGTCTATCGTCTGTGGTGAGCGACATCTAAAATTCTCATCGCCCTCTCCCCCTTCACCAACCTGGACTTGGCCAGCATGGTGAAATACGGTAAAACAACCCGCATGACTGAAACATAGGGGCGAGGCATTGCTCCAGTAGTGGATTTACAAAAGGGCTGTAAATTATTATAATTCTACTTATTCATAAATGGATTACTTGCAGCGCATACATAGGCACACTTATTTTAAACAATTAAACTAATTACTTGCATTATTTAGCATATATATGCAGGGTAAAGTAGTAAAAATGTACAGCGCTAAGTGCTGCTACTACACCAGGAGCTGTTATTACACTAGGCATGATAACCATAGCAACTCATTACGTTCCCTATTCATTTGCTTTAATGTATTCACCCACGATCCAAACTCATCCACCCATCCGATAATTGATTTCTCAGAAAATAAAAAAATCAGTCAATAAATCAATGGTCAGTAAATGTACGGTTTATTAACTCGTTTGTCTCTTTGGTTGCTTGCCCTGCTCCCTGCCAGACTCTGACCAACCTGAAGAACCGCTGCTGCGATCGGTGCTGTGGCGTGAACCCAGGGAGCCATGGTCCTGGCTCGGGCCACCCGCACCGCCCAGCATGCACTGCGGCCCACGACGTTCTGGGGGTCACGAGGTCGTGCAGGGATCGCGGCGGAGGTCACGATTGAGGAGGGTGCCAGGGGGGCCGTTTTGCGGGGGGATTGGCAGAATTTGCAATGGGAGCAACAACAACAACAACAAAAGATTGAATAAGCGGCAACACAAAACGAGACAAACAACCACCAGTGAAAGAAAAATAATAATCAAAGGGTAAATAATGAATAAAGGCAATTAAGCGCAACGTGGGATCAAATTAATCAAAATATATATATTCATGTTCACAGCAAACAAAAACTGAGCTTGGTAAGCAAATTAAAAAGCAGCATGTGGACGGAGGGGCTCCTGTGATTTATTATATTTAAAAAAATGTGTTTTCTCCAAGACTGCTGTGTTGCCTTGCGCTAATTAAAATCAGATGTGAAAACCACAAACACCCCTCACTGATGGCGTCACCTTTGTCCCCCTTGGCGCCCAAGCAGAGCGCATCGTCGTCACAGCTTCATTATTGCGACGCTGAATATTTTTTTTTATTATCTGCCGCGGGTATACACTGCTCCCATCTTCTTCAAGTTTCCCTTCCGTTAACCCTCATGTGGGCACGATTAAATGCGCGCCCATCCGGCGTCACGGGTGAACGACAGGATCTGGAATTCTCGCCGACAGGCTTAAATGAACGGGGGGGGGGGGGGGGGGGGGGGTGGGAATTACCGTTGGCAAATCGCGCCTGCTCCGACGGCACGCCGAAACCCGCGGGCCCCGCTGGGGCTGCCCCTCGCTCGGCCGAGATCTCGTTGGCGATGTTCTGCTGGATGATCTGCGTGGTGGCGTAGGGCGTGGCCTGGGGCGTGGCGCCCGGGCTGTAGAAGGCCGCCTCGCGGCTGACGTCGACGCTGCTGTAGATGGCTCCGTCGGACGCCAGCGTCGACGACTTGGCACCCTCCGCTCCCATATTAGAGAAACTGGCATCTGGGTTAAGGGGAGAGGAGCACGGCGAGCATTGTGAACGCGCTCCCTTGGGCTGAAATTCGCGTCGGTGTTTGAATGGCTTTTCTGCACACCACCACCACGCACCGCTCATTTCATCAGGATTCTCAGATTTTCCACGTTTACATGTGATAGTTGGAGATTTAAAAAAAAAATTGTTTCAGGTTCAAAAAGAAATGTGCTTCAGAAAAAAAGGAGAGTTTCTTGGGCATAATTTTTCGGGGCTCTTCGGTTTCATAAGCAATATATTTAGGGACTCTTCCTTAAACAGTTTAACTTTGTAATTTAAACATCCTCAAGTTTGACGGTGGACTTTTTAAAAGTTAGTACTGTAATGTTAATTTTTATATTATAACATTCAGGTGGAAGAACACAAACATGTTGTGCGCAGCAAGCCGTGTCAACAACAGGATGGCAAGGTTCCGTGTGATAAGCACAAAGACAAAAACCCCCAAAGTGTTTCGGAGATAAAAAATAAAATCTGTCACGGGAATTCAATGGAAATAGTACACAATCAGATGCAATTTACCAACACACCCAGGGCGCCGCACCAAAATGAGAATATTTCAGAAGACAAGCATTACGCTGTCAACCTGCAGCCCAAGGTGGGCCGAGTAAATTAACGGGAACCAGGAGGTGGGCGTGCCGTGCTGACGTCGATCCGCGTCTGGCGCAGAAATAAGGCAGCTAAATCGAGAGCCTAGGAGTCTGAGAGCCATTTACCTGCTCCGTGGGCAGGGGGTCCTGGGTGGGAAGCAGCGGTCCAAACTAAAGAATGGCTCTCACGTCTCGTTTCACGCTTCCCGTCGAAATTACGAACATTTTTCTTGGCTGGAAATCGTTGTGACTCTCATTCGCAGTTGTGGCCTGTGACCCACAGAAGCCAACCGACCGAGCTGCTTAATGCCACGTGCACACGCAGATTACCCCCTAATTCCTGTTTTGCAAGATCTCTACAAAACATTCTGCGTGTCCTTTCTTGCTGCCTAAATATAAAAGCTGATTTTTTTTTGAATCTGTAGGCTTCACGCAATACTATCATTCAGAATACTATCATGTATTTCGCAAAACGTTTGAAGGCAAAAAAGTGGCATAAAAATAATAACAATTACTATTTCAACTGAGAGGTGTGGAATGAGTGTTGTCCAAGACATGCTCTTACACAAGAAATAATTCTATATTCAGATGCCAAAGTTGGTACTCGGAGTTATCGTATGAGATTAATGGTGGCAAGAGTTTGCTTTGTGCTAAGCCTTTCGATCAGATGTCATCTTGATAGCCGAGTGTCGATATCCACAGCAGATGGTTTTCCGCCATTTGTAATCGTCAGCATCTTCCATGGAGTCCTCTCAAATTGCCCACATTGTACTGACAACTGTTACTTTTCCTTCCTCAACCCCTTTTAGCTTCCATTTCCCCTCCCTGCAGGATCATATTTGTCACATCTCCAGTTGACCCATCTTAAAATATGCTCCCCACATGCCACCTTTCCTCTCATCAGATTACTCAGTAATTCCTGCTTGTGCCAATTCTCTCTCAGTACATCTTCACTTCATTCTCGTCGCACCAATTCAATGATTTATTCTATGCTGGAGCACCGCATCTCAAGCCTGCTTCGTGTTTTCATCTCATCCTTCTGCAATGCCCATGCTGCATAAGCACATTCCACTTCATTCCGCAACCAAAGCTTTCATATCTTTGTGCTCAATTTTTTGTTTAGTGTCTGACATTATCATTCCCCCTGACCTTTTAAAAAAGCTGCCTTTTGCCATTGTGATTATTTCTCCTCGTATATTTGTTTATTGCATGCACAACATGTTTTCATTCATGAAATGGCAACAACAATTTTCGTGGCAATATGACAATGAAATTAGGCATGAGAAGACCACAGGACTAACAATGACCGTGGAGGAAATTTGACGGGCCACTAATATTTATTTTCAACGAAACATTGAACAAAACGGCACAATGTAAAGGCTGTACTTGAGCAAGAAAAAAGAATGAACATCATGTTCAGCAATGGCTCTGCTTCGCAAATTCATCCTCGCCATGTAAGGCCGCTGAGACAGAGCCTTGTGCCTCGGACGTCTGTAATGATGTTGATTATTAACACGACAAAAGAACAACGAATGATGTTCATTAAGTCGAGCAAGGGGGAATCACACAGGTGCAGCTGTTGTGCCGTTTGAAATTGGCCAATGTATGCCCAGCACGAGCATTAGCAGAGAATGAAACCCCCCCCCCTGTTGTTTTTGTCGCAGGCTACACGGGGAGGCTCATAAAACAGAGGCTGGGAAGGAGTCAGCCTGCGCCATGTTTTGCTGTCATCGTTCCATGAAACAAACTAGTGGTGTCCCACCCGCAGCAGACCTCAGGCTGCCCTATCACTGATAGCCAGGGTTTCTCATCCACGGGCTGAGTTGGACCTTCTGAATAGTTACTAATAATTTTGGCATCTGGCCTACCTCCAAATGTGTAGGGTTTCAAAGGGTCGTGATTCGCCGGCGAAGTATACATACTTAATAACATCCATTTCATTCAAAATCCTCTCCGCAAAAGGCTGCACTATATCTTCTAACCTTTAAAAAACACATACTGCCTTAAACAGTCATTTAAATAAATTGAATTTCAACTTGACACGCAACGCATTCACTCGCTCTCGGAGAGAGAGAACAACTCAAGAGGCATGAGGAGCCACAGGCAAGTAGGAAAGGCATCCAGGTGGCAAGCCGGCACCAATTGTCCAAGCTCTGTAGTCCTCTCCATATTCGGGTGTTATCTTCCAATTTACGAGTATTTACACGTCTGAGGAAAGCGGAGCAGCCAGAGGAGGCAACAACACTCTGTCCAATACATGTGGTACAGGTCGATTTCACATTTGCTTCACTCCATTCTTGCGGCACCTCCTTAACGCCCCCAGGAAGGGAGTTTCAGAACATTTGTGTGATCCACCATACCTCGCTTCATCAGCGCTCGATTACGGGTGTGTACGAGCGGTACGCAGCTAAATCATCATCATCATCATCATCGGGCTACCAACTTCTGGACAAAGTCTCCCCTCGCCGCGCACCACCCCTCGCTGCTTTGCGACACCGCAACCTACAAGACGGTCGCTTGACGGGGGCAAGTGCGGGAGGCGAGGAAAGAGCCCTGGATGATGAAAGATGGTGGCCGGCGGCAGCCGCCTCACCTGCGTGCGAGAACCCTTGGTCAGCGGCCTCCGTGGGGTGAGGGCAGCAGCTGACGGCACAATTGTTAGCCCCGGAGCCCAGCTGCAGTGCGGTGGAGGGCCATGAGTCGGCCAGCCACGGGTAGGTGGGGTCGCTGGGGTTCAGCACGCCCGGCCTGCGGGGGGGACGACGGCGACGGTGACGCACGACGCCGATGCTTCACGGCACGGCCACTTGACGTGAGCGCTACACTACTGTGGGCGACGGCCATCGCGCCGGGGAAGGCCACTCTTTGACAAGATTGTTATACGCTTCGCTTAGAAGCCCCCCCCGCATCCAACCCCTCCTCTCAAAAAAAAATATAGGCTCGATTATCATAACAATTGAAAATGACGTGACATGTTCTCCAATTATATATTTACATTTTTAATCGCATTGGGGTGTCAACCGACGTGGCAAGCAGCGTAGCGGATGTTTTCAAAACAGCTAATGGAACGGCACAAAGAAACTAATTTCGTGCGTTGCAGAAAAAAATGGGAAGCGATTGCCATAATCAGCGCTGATCACAGAAGCCCCTCTTAATTGTGTCCAAAAAATCCACTTGGCCATTTTCCAAGCGCAGTGGCGGTGGTGGTATTGCTGACAAGCGCGGCTGACAGGAAAGAAAAGCGCAGACAGGGAAAGCGTTTTCTTTACCGTCCATTACTCATGACTGTCCCCTGCGTCCTCTGGAAGGTCACTGTAATGGGAAAAGCGAGAGAGCGAGAGTCAGTGCCGCGGCGAATGCAGATCCCCAGCCCAGCGATATTTTTCAACCCACATGACATGGGCCATTTACCAGTGTGACACCCATGCACACTCACACAGAGCGCACGCTCGCGCGCACGCACGCGCACACAGTCAGCAGCACGCCATCGTCCACACGTACACGCGGAAATAAACTCTTTACAGGCTGTCGAGGTAAGTGCTGTTAGCAAGCGCCTATGAAAGCCAGCGGGGCAAACGAGGGGTGGGAGTGACCAATGATGTACCTTCAGGTACTCATTTTTTGGTGTCGGTTCACCACCAGGCTGGTGATTTCCCCCCCTCCCCCCTCCCCTTGTCTGTGATTCCTCCTCAAACACCGTGTGCGTGGGGCGTAACAAGTTGAAATTCTTATCATCATTATTTCAGTCGCAATTTACGGGAAGGCTCCAGGCCAGAATCAGATACCGGGAATTAACCACAGATCATTCTCCAAAGACAAAGATCCCCCATACAGCCTGTAGAGGCTGTTGCGCCAAGGGCTATTAGTGAACTATTAAGGCTGGAATGGTGCACAAGGAGGTGGTTTGGCTGGGTCACTCTCTATACACACAAAGATCCCTCCTATAGCCTTAACAGATTGTTGGGGCAAGTGCCGTTTGTGAACACTTATGAAGGCCGGTACGGTACACGAGGTGGTGGGTGGCCAGCACCACGCCCGACCACCTTTGTCTCCCCAGTGGCGATGTTTACACACTGCACCAGGTACTCATTTGAGGCTGCGTCGACCACATACAAACACACACACACACATTCAGACACAAATGCTCATGCACACAACACAATCACACATGTTCATGCACACGGATGATGAACGCACCACACGCACACACACACACGCAGTTGCATTGTATTTTGGCCGAGTAAGTTTAATAAGGAGCCCCAGTGGCTAGAACCCCTTACAGGAGCCATGACATCTTCACTCCTCCCCACCCCCAACTCCCCCAGCAAGTAGCCTCAATTTAAGCCACGGGGTCTCTTGTCTTCCCTTTGTCATCAGTAACCCTTAGCCTGGTCCTGACCGCCCTCCTACCTCCACCGTAACCCATCCCGAGGCGGTTTCGGCGATGACCTTCATATCCGTGATGGATTTTATTTCACGGCAGTGGCACATTTTGTGAGGACGAGCACCCTGGGCCAAGTCCCCCATTGCTCAATGAAAAAAAAATATCCAAGGAAAATCAAATATCGCATCACCAAAAAAGAGATAAAAAGCATTTCCCCCAAACACCCCCCCCCCCACCTCTTAATATCTGGCTGATTAAGGCATCCAGTCAATAACGATGTTCGTAGCTTGAAGCCTCTTTTCTTTATATTTTCTACTTCTGCGTCATAACAGCCGCAGCATAAAAAAATCCGCACGATCTCAATCGCCCATTTAGCAGCAAGCTCGCCAATTTCTGCACGAGTGGGCAGCCCAGGAGTGCAATGCACCTTCCCTGGATGGGAAAGGGGCTCTAAATATGAGGCCATCACGCAGATCAGTTGACATTATCTGCTGTCGAGCAGTTTCTAATTCTTCCATGTAAAAGGGTGCACACTTGCCAATAACCTCTTGCAACTGATTGGTATCAGTGTTCGCATTGTTATCCCTGTAAAGCCATTAGGCCCTATTAGCTCCATTAACTTCGCTAGCACCGATCGCCTTTTTGCCAGCCAACCGAATGTTGGGACGTGAAAAATTCGCGACACTGAATTGTCAATCAGTATCATGCATTTGAGGCACGTTTAAAGAAGCAAGCCATGGCAGTGGGGAGGAGGGTGCAAAAGGTTTACGGCCCACTCCTCCCTCCCACCCCGTACCCCCCAACAGGAATCACCGGTTCAAACCCCAAGCAAGCACACGAGATACAGGTGAAATATTTGTCTCTTCTAGCAGCAGTTTTATTCTTTTAAAAGTACCAATACGTAATGGGTTCATCCATGCATATGCATTCAGTTTAATCCACACTTGTGGGTTAGTGTAGGGCCCACTTGGGCGAGCGAGCGCACTGTGATCACGGGTGTTTTTTTGCGAACGGCAATTCCGCCTTCCCATCCGTGGCTGGAAGCATGTTAAATGACTGAAATTAGAACGTGCGATGCAGCTTAGGCCCATACCTGCAGGGGTGAAGGTGAAGGAGCGAACTGCAATAGCAGCCCCAGCGTGAACAGAGAAGGGGGGGGGGGGGGGGGGGGCAGAAGCACAGAGACAGAATAGCAGAAAGAAAAAAGAATCAAGCGTTAGAGAGCAGCTACGGGTGTGAGACGGCTCTTACAGGCGGCGGTTAAAAGAAGCGAGATTGTTTTACTCTTAAACATAAAGTAGATCAGCAGCAGGCCCTGGGCAGCGGGCTGAAGATAGGCAGAGGATCAGCCTGCAAATAAACAGGGACAGGTGCGGCTGCACGGGGTGACCATGCCATTTTTTTGGTTTATCGGCAATAACGCTGCACCATTGATTTTTGTTGCTGCTGCCTCATACATCAGCTCGGCACATCACTCCCACTTCCATTCCTTCCCCCTGGCTCCTGACCGACCGCCTCCCCCCCCCACCCCCGGCCCAGTGCCAACCCGAGGCCCAACTGCACAGATTCCCTGACGAGCGCCGCATCCGACAACAATTAGGACGGCCGGTCGCTTATCCGCTTGCGGTGCTGCTAGCGGAAGAGTTGTCGCGTACATAAATCTTCCTCGGCAAGATATTGGGTGTGAACACGGGTCAAGGGTGGTGAGCCATGCGGCACGCGTTTTAGCCGCCGTCACACTGGCGGCTTGACCTCCAACCGTGACCGCCCTCCGAGGCGTTTAACAGGGTTCAAGCTTAACCACATGCAGAGTGCTCGTCGAATAAGGCCCAGTTACGTGCATTATGCGTGGCAAGAAGCTCGTGGCCAGCAACAATATTGATAATAATTGATATGGATTTTTTTTGAGAATACAATTTGAGGCCCAAAGAGGCACCGCATTCATGCTCTAATTGGCATTGAGCAATGGCCATTTTCATTTCGAGGTCTTAAGAAGGCAGCAGGAAAAATCCTACGTTACCTTGGCAAGGGCATGTATATCCACAGGACAAATGACTGATCGCAGAGGAGAATGAACTGAGGTGACCCTTTCCAGCATCTTAATAGGATTTTAACTCACAGACAGTTGCACGATTGGGAGTTCTGCTGTATCACCAATCCAGCTACACTCCAAGCACAATTCAGGGATACTTAAGGGAATAAAACAATACGGAACATTCTCCTTGTTTAACATTTTCAGAAGTGCACAGCAAATAATTCAATATTGCAATTATTATTGCCGCATTAAGCTTCCACTTATGCTGAGGAAGTCATATTACTAGTCATTTAAAAAATCAATGTGGCAAATATTTTAATGGGGAAGTGCATTAAAACGCAACCCTGGTAAAATACAACCGGAGGAGCTCGGGCAGACGCTTGCAAGTGGAAGCGGGCGTAACAGCTGCTTGCTAAGGTGAAGGCAGGTGGGCTGGCGGTCAAAATTGCACACGCGGCCCAACATCCCAGCAAAGAAGGGGAGCGTGATGGCCATAATGGCAATCCCAGCGCCGTACAAAAAAGCTCAGAGTTATGGATGCGAGTGCAGTGAGTGAAAGTGCGAGCGTGCCACCGCCGCCCGCACACGAGCCCACGCGGTGGTGGCATGCACGCATGTACGGGACCGGGGCTGCCTGGCAAAAAGGCGTACCGGCGTAGTTGCTGAGTCCCTTGCGCTTCTTGCGCCGGCAGTAGAGCCATACGCTGAAGCTCATGAGGATGACCCAGCAGGCGCCGCCGATGCCGGCGATGAACGCGGGCTGCTTGACCACGTCTGATATCTGCCCGGCAAGGCTCACGTTGCTGCCGGGCTGCATGGAGACGATGCCTCCGCCGACGGGCTCTGTCGCCCCGGCGATAGCACGGGCGGCGCGGGGAAACACACACGCACGCACACCATCATCATCATCATCACCTGTTCCTTCTGTCAGCTTCTGTCAGCTCATCGGCGACGCTGGGGCCGGGCGAAATTTCCTGCCGCCATTATCTTTGTTTAGCCCGTATTATGCAACCCACATATACACGAAGAAACACACGCACAAACGTAGAAACACAACGAAGATACACGGAAACACAGACACACACACGCGCGCGCACACACACACACACGTGAGCACACAAAATGCTCAACATTCATTGAAAAGGCCCCTTTTTTAATTTTGCCTGCAAGTGTTAAGATGCTGGCAAATTACGGGCATATTGAATAAACCAGCAGAATAACTGCGTTTTATGTTACAATTACTCTGCACAGAATGAAATTGGCAAGCGTGCGCTGTTTCAAGAATGTCTAATCACAACTGCGTGTGCTTCTAATATTACCTGCCATCCTTTACTGCCACCTCTTAATTACAGCGCACATCTATTATTAAATTCCCTTTTAGTGAACAAAATAAAAAACGTGAGAGGTTATTGCAACCAGGAGTGGCAGGCAGCAGAGCCTCAGTCTTGCCACCGCCTGTTTATGTGTGCATATATATCCTTAATTTGCCTTCTAAAAAAGGGCTTGTTGTTCTGGCTCAAGAATTAAGTGCACCCGAAAAGATCCCTATCAATTCTTCTCATGCCCCATCTGTAGTTACACTGATAACCACCACGAAAATCTATTTCAATAAATGTGAGTCGTTGCAGGAGGCAAGTAAACCTCACATGTATAAAGACTCGAATGGGTGCCTACACACGATATATACACACACACACGGACGTGTGCTCCCATATAGTCAACGCTTCACCTTTGATTTTTGCACATAAATCGTTTTCCCTTTCCCCCCGGTGCGCTCACGTAATCCGCGGGATAATTTCACCTCATGATATCCACGCCACACACCCACCCAAAAAAAAAAGTAATCAATTTCACAGCCGAGCAAACTGCACATGTCCAGACGCAGTGGTGGCGGCGACAGGAAACCCTGGGTCACTTGGCCACGGCAAAAAATGTTTATTACCACCCAATTTCCAAACGTAAAAAAGACGTAAACAACAACACCAACACAAAAAAAGACCCCAATACACAAACGCCGACTGAAATCTCAATTCAGGTGCACGTACAATGCTTCAAGCCCAGCGGTGATCAGTTGGAGCGCATGGCTTTCCACCGGGTGAAGTTAGTGTCGTAAATAAAAAAAAACGATGCTGTCGACATGAGCCTTCAACTCTCCATCGATTGTCGCCGAATAAAAAAAAATCATATTTCTTAAGACCCATGGAAGATTTATACACGCTTTGATTGCTGGCGGGAAGGTAATCTTTATCCGGGTCTACATTGGACACCTGATATGGTCAGGTGTCACTGATTATACCAGAGAATGTTTGTCTTGATTAAGGGAAGGCACAGTGGCCATACATGAAAGCCAAGTTAATTTCCTTAGAATTGCAGGTGCGATGCTTTTGCTTGAGTTAAAACCACATTAATAAACAAAACAATAAAAACCCTACTGCATGCACGAAACATACGCACGCAACTACACAAACTGAACTGAAAATAAATGTTGAGACATTTATAAAAGAGCGGTGGCTATATAAAACAGGCAAATTCTTTTGCAACGCATTCAACAAATCATCATCTTCCAGCAACCTCAAGGCAGGATTGGTGAACCATGCAGAGAGGGATCATGCATGAGAGCACAGTAATCAGGTTCCTGACCTATCCGTGTAGAGTTGAGGGTTCCCCCCCCCCATATTTCGTGAAAGTTCCCTCTGGTCACTCTAATTTCCCCCCACAAACCCACAAAATAGGTAACAGCCGCTCGTGAAATAAAATTGGTGAAATATCCCAAGGCAGGATAACGGTGAATGCGAGTCTTCAAGACTCAACAATGAATTGTACGAAAACATGCCGTTAAATTCTTAAATCGCGAATCACGACACATTTTTAAAAAATATATATTAAAGTGTTTTAGCAGGTAAGGCCGACTGAGCTATATAGCTCTTTTTTTTCAGAAGCGACCTGGCCACAAATGATCGTTAGACGAAGTGGCTTACCAATTAGAAATTTAGAGCAACCAAGCACCCCAAATAAAAATATACATTTTGCAAAAAAATTATTAAATCATCTCCACTCTGGACAGAACGGCTGCTATCATGGTGCATCGGGCCATGCCTTCCCAACACCTCCTGTGCCGGCACGGTGCCGGCATTCGGGGCACGAGCATCATTCGCACGCAGTGTTGCAATTGGAGGGTTTCGTGGATGTATGTATTTTTAACTTCTTTCGCACCGTATCTATCCAAATGGGAAAGGACGACAGACTAAACACAAAAAGCAGTTCTAAAAAAAAAACAGTTTCCAATCGAGATCATTTAAAAGTTCATAGCTCCAAGTGGCCTCCGAATATTGGAAGGAACGAGCGTTTCAGACGGCCACGGAAGAGCGCCTTGAAAGCGCGCGACGCGGTGACCGTTTTTGTTCGACGGCCAGCCAAAAGCCGCTGCTGCTGCTGCAAGGATGACCGAGGAACGCGTGATGATGGCCTACGCCCCTTGACGAGATCAGCCAGGGTATTGTGGTTCGTTTGCGGCAAGCACTTTGTGTGTGATGGCCGCTCACCGAGCTGGATGGCCCGGGCCTCGCTGTGCACGCCGACGCCCGCGGCGGTTGCCGCCGCGACCTCGACACGGTACGGCACGCCCGGCACCAGCCCGCTGAGCACCAGCGAGCGCACGGATGCAGCCACCGTCTTGTTGACGTGAAAGCGCGTCTCGTTGCCCAGGCACCACACCTGTCCGTTCAGGGGTGGGGGATATATTATATAAATATTTTACCAGGTAAGGCTCACTGAGCTATACAGATCTTCTTTTTCAGATGCGAGCCGGTCACAAATGATAGCTCAAGTGAGTGACTCATCGTGTGGACATTTATAGCAAGCAAACACTCAAAACACATATTTATAAATGTATATATATAAAAAAATAATCGCCTGACAATAGGAAAGTTTGGCATGCGGCAGCGTGCGGGGGATCGCCAAAGACTTGCTGCGTTCAATTTTTGATAGGGCGGATTCCGCGTCCCGTCGATGCGTGTGAATTTTACTTCAAGGCACCGCCGTTAATTTTTCATTCGCGCCGTTTAACGTGAAAGAGCAGACTACTTCGTTTAACCAGTTGGGAGTGTCCACTGACATCCGCAGACCTGTGCAATTGTATTTCCTTAGGAGGAGGTTTTTAATTTTGTACATTTTTTTGCTTCTTTGTGAACATTAAAAAAAAAGCGTGGGATATGAAGCGTGATACGAAAGCACAGTGATGCCACGTGGCTTTTGTTTGGCTTCATGTTCGAGCAAACAAGCCTCACCAACGACTGATAACATTGGTGACGAAGCAAACCGGCTGCTAATGGGTACATGCATCATTTTTTTTGTTTAAACAAAGAAAATTGAAACATCACCCTGGTAGCTTCAGACACTGAGGCAGAAGGTTTCAACGTTTACCCTGTATTCCTGGATGAGTCCATTCTGGTTTTCGGCAGGGGGGGAATCCCAAGTCACAGAGATGCTGGTGCTGTTGCCGCCTCCCATTGTGTTGACCGTCACGGCCTGAGGAGGCGCGTCTGGGGCTGTTGATGGTAGGGGGGATGACACCACACAAATTTAATGTTAGACAAAAGGCGCACGCACACACACACACACGAGACATTTCCCCACAAATGCGTCGGGCAACATTCGTGTGTGAAAAAGGCACTGAGCGGCGAAGATCAGCGGACCACAAAATGGGTCGAATGCGACTCAAAAGTTTTGTCTAAAAAAAGAAATCGAGTGAGCTCTATCTCGCAAAAAAAAAAACCTTCTTCCGGCGTCCGAGCAAACTTGACGTCGCTGTCAGCTCCCTGGAACTCGTTGAAGAACGGCCGGACCTTGATCTCGTAGCTGAGCCCCTTGCGGAGGTTGGTGAGCACGGCGTTGCGCTCTGTCGGAGACTTCACCTCCAGGATCTGCCAGCTGCCCAGGGCTTGCGTGCCGGACACCGGCCGGTGCATCAGCCGGTAGCCCTGCACGAACTGGGACTGACGGTCAACCTGGTGGGAGACGGGAGGGTGAAAAATGCCCGAGGGAAGGTGCGAGAAGAGGGTGGAGGGGGGGTGTTTGTGGTGTGAGCTGAGTTATTTTTTTTGTCCCCACCCCCCTCCTCCCTGCAAGTCGTTAGGGCAGAGAAAGAGTTAAGTGGGGAGGAAATGATGTCGCTGTGGTGGCAGCCTCCTCGCGAGCTGTGGAGGTCGGCAGGCCGTGCCCAGAGGAATTCCCAACATGGGGAATAAGGGGATATAGCTGTGTGTGCTGACACCGAGACCAAAACCGGCTTTTATCCATTGTTGAAAATCTTATTTTAGCTCAGGTCAAATCCAATACAGAACACGCAAGGTACAGTGTCAGAAAGACCATCGCCCAGATATGGATTGTGCCGAGCCAGAGCCCAGCGCCTTGTACATGAAACATGCAAGCTGCTGGGCACTGAAGCAGCACTGCAAGGCACGCTGCTGACCGATCTCTTTCTTTACACATCTTCCCCCAATGTTAGCCCGATAGTGTTGAAGTCATGTCATGAGACGAAAAACCCACTCACATTCCTCACAAGGCAGACCAACCCATGGTGTTGGAGATTGGCCCGAAGATCATTCTACGAAGAGCAACACCACTGTGAGTAATGCTGACTTATCTTTGTGGAGTTGGTGTGTTATCCTCCGACATGTGTTGGCTTCTCACGTGAAAAGAGCATACTCAAAGAGACTGGCCAAACATTCCAAACAGGGTCAATTCAGAAAGATTCGGTGCAACTCCAATGGAGAAAAATAACGTTAGAGAACAAAATCGGGCGGGAGAGCTGGATGGCAGGTGGTCAGGTAGCTTGGTGGGTATTTAGCTGCGATAAATGTCCACGTAATAAGCCACCTCACTGAGCTTTCATTTGTGGCGAGGTCGCCTCTGAAAAAGAGCTATATAGCTCAGTGGGGCTGACCTGGTAAAATAAAAAATAAAAATGTTTATGGTTGTTAGACGTGCAGGCAAACAGACGTGAGGATACATCAAAACGGGCAAATGTTTCTGACGTCTAGCGACCATCGTGGCTCACCGTCCAGGTGACCTGCACGGTGGAGGAGGTGAGGATGAGCGGGGTGTGTAGGCGCAGCACTACATCGCCCAGCTCCTTCTGGACCTGCCGGTGGTCGACGCCCTGGCCCGTGGGGCTGATGTCTGTCGCAAACAGCAGGGCGGGTCGATCAAAAGCTTTAGTTCACCCGCACGTTCATCGCCGGGTCTACGTTTCCGCCTTTTACACTTTCTAACAATTCACGGCAAGTCACATGTTTAGCAATGGGGGTCCAAAGGTGCGAAGAGAAAAAAGATAGAGAGAGAGAGAGAGAGAAAAAAAAGATAAATCAAAGACGCGGCAAGGGCAGGGGCGGGGAGTTTGCGCGCCTCGCGGATGCTGGACCGCGTCAGCATTCGCACAATGCTTGAAACATTTAGCACATATACAGAGGTTATCTTGGGGCAATCGTGGCTGATGAATCGACCCGAGTCGCGCACCGCTGCCTTAAAAGACCACCGCGGGCCCGGAGGCAGATAATGGAGCTGCGCTGACGCGCTCCTCGCGCGCGCGCGCGGTGAAACGCGTGCCTTCACCCAGAGCGTGGTTGCGGTGGCCTGACACGAGAACAAACACGCCGTGCGTGCCAGCGACTGTGTGCACGCGCGAACACAATGCTCTTCCAACTGCTTACACGATGCGTAAAGCGCAAACAATTCGTAAATGACTCGTGTTGCAAAATTGCCAATCAAACCGGTCCCTTTGCATTGCGTGTGACCTCACATTCATCAATATTTCCTGGCAGCTTGAATAAAGCGTGCAGCATCCCAAGGGCGCGTGTGCCTGTGCTGTGCTAATGTGTGCGTGCGCGGGCGAGTTGATGGGTGTCGTAGTGGTTTGCACACAGCAATATAATCACAGCAAAACCTTAATAAATTATTGACCATGATGATGGCAATTGAACGTGTTCTGGGCCTCCCGTAGTTTAACTCTGTCTAAAACGACTAACTAGTGTGGTGGTGTCCAGCTTAAGACACGAGCGGCCAGAGGTGTTATTCCGGCCACACCACTTACCTACGTGTCGTCCGGGACTTAATGGGTGCTCACGAACACTGCACTCATTTGCAGATGTACGTGTCAGCATATGCGTGAATATGTGTGCACTGGTGTGTTTCTGTATATGTTCATTTTACCAACAGGGAAAATGCACTACATTGTAAAAATATAACCCAGTAATTTTCACACCACCAGTTGTCATAAACTGCCTTTGACGAGAACAAATAACAAGATGATGTATGTCACCGCCTGGGCTATTGTGTCCGATGTCATTGTTGGTGTGTATGTGTGCTCCTGTGTGTGTGTGTGTGTACGCATGTGAGTGTTAATGCATCTATGTGTGCATGTGTGTGTGAGTATGAGTGGTGCGATGGCACAGTGGTCCGTGAACAGGCTATAAACCCGGCGAGCTGAGTTTGATTCCCAACTCATGGTTAACATCAGTGGAGAATATCTCAACTGGTCCTGGGCCTCCCCATGGGTCGACTCAGCCTCAAATATACCTGATGAGGTGCGTAAACGTCAGCACTGAGGAGACGAAGGTTTGCCGATCGTGACCACTGGGCCGTGCTGCCCCGTCCTCGTGCACCATGCCGGGTCTTAATAAGGTGCTCGCGAACAGCACGGCTTGTGTCAGCATACGTGGGCGGTTACCTTGCGTGCGCACGGGGTCTGAGACGGGGCTGGGGTCGCTAAGTCCGTGTGCGTTCGCGGCGCGGACGATGAACAGGTAGATGGTGTTGGGGCGCAGGCCCCGCAGCGTGAAGGCATCGCGCGTCACGTGCGTCGCCACCGTCTGCCAGCTCGTGCTCACTGATTGGCTGTCCCCGAGCAAAGGGCACAAGGCAAACCGATTATTCTCGAGCAAGCGCTCAGACGGCGCTGTCGTTATCACCGTCGTCCTCATCACGAGCCATTCAATATCCACTTGGCGAAGGGTTCGCTGTGATGGCACCGGCTGAACAACAAAGAAGACTCGGAAGGGATTTAAGATCTTGATTGGCGCGCAGGAATGTAATGATTCACTGCCCTATAAATTTGACGAATGATTCAGGGTCTTGATTTTCTCCTATTGTTTTGTCTCGTTTATGTCATCTCGTTAACATTGGCCCTCCCGTTTTTCCCTCTCACTTGTCGAGTTTTGTTTGTCCTTTTCATCTAGATATATTCAAGTATGATCAACCAACCCCCATGTGACCAACACGATGTGGGGGAGACCTTCATCCATCCATCAGTAAATTGGCAAAGGGCTGTAAGTAAATGATAATTTAAACATGGTTTGAGACTCAGATGCCACTTACGACTTACGCAGTCCAATGTGCAGACGCGCATTCGTCAGCGTCAACGTGGTTTACTCCTCAAACAAGCATCGAGGCGATACAGCCCTGAGCCAGTGGTTGAATTTGTAAATTCCTATGCTGGCAGGGGGTTGGGGGCAGAAAAAGTCTATCTGTAAAAAAAACACTGTTGACTTCCCCACGAAGTGGTACTTATTGTTTTATCGACCCCAGAGAGATGATGGGCTGGGTCAACCTCCAAGCAGACTTTCAACTCGCATCCTTTTCGATCGTGGCAACAAAAAAATTAAACAATTTCTCTGGGGCTATTGCGAACGAGGCACAATATTGCAATAACAGTCTCCATCAAAGAATTGCGTTGCAATTTCCATGTGTGCAACTCTTAAAGAAAAGCTTTTAATGAGAAGTGATTTTCCTATTATTAAACCCGCTCGTGTTTACTCTTCAATCAAACAACTGGTGAATTGCAGTACATTGCTTATTGCAGTTACATTGTAAAAAAAACCTGAATATTTTTCAATAAACAAAAGTTATCTCATCAACCGAATTTCAGCAGTGGCTAATGTATTTGAAAACAAAGGCATGTCAAAACAAGGGGGCATAGAACCTCTTCCAAAAACAACAGAAATAAAAGTAATGTGTATAATTTAGTGATAGTATCTTTCCAGGGTGCTGCAATTGCTTTCCGCCACTGATTTTGCAATAAAGAGGTCGCGTAGTTCAACCTCCTGGCACGACAAATGAAACAACGGTGCAAGGATCTTAAATCCCTGCCCCCCCCCGCCTCTGTCCACCTAGCAGTCGAAATGGGTTCAGCAGAGTTTGTCGATCGCCAGGGTAAAGTGTGGTGGGGTAAAGTGGAGGTACTCCCACCTCTTACGAGACTTTTTGGCCAAAAGACTCTCCAAAGGGGCTTTCTCAAGAACTCCCTCTAGTGGAGGCCCTTACTCCAGCAGTGGCGTAAGGAAGCAATTGCAGGGCTACACATTGACCTTTAACCTATTTATCTTGCAATCTCTGAAACTGAACGATAAACAAAACTATATATTTTTATTTTACCAGGTAAGGCCCACCGAGCTGTGTAGCTCTTTTTCAGAAGTTACCTGGCCACAAATGATAGGTCAACGAAATGGCTTTTCACGTGGAAATGTATAGGAGCCAAAAACTCTAAACATAAGTTGAATCTAAATGTGGAGGGAAAAACCAGAGGACCTGGAGAAAAATCCACGCAACCATGGGGAGGACATGCAAACTCCAAATATACAGGCATCAGGGTCGGAACAGAACCCACAACCTCCTGTATACCAGGCAATGTAGTTGCCATCTCACCAAATTACATCTTCCCATCACAAACACACAATTATTTAATAAATGCTCTGTGGGGGAAAATACCTAGCCTAATGCAGGGTCTTGTAACCCTGGCAAATGCATAATACAATTACTTAAACTTTCATGACACCAGCACATAATACCTTTGTATTATGAATTGTCACGGAGTCCTTAATGTCTCATTTACATGCCGAAATAGGATAAAAATCCCTTCGCAAACAGCTACTTCAAGTGAGCTTCACCGACAATGATCCAGCTCTACCAAAACGAATACCAAAACATGTAAAAGAGGAAACCAAACCATGATGTTTTTAAATTGCAGACCGCTTGCATATTGCCGCCTGTCCTGGTTTTCCCAGGATTGTCCTCTTTTTGAAGTACTTGTCCTGAGAAATCTGTCTTTCCACGACGTTAAAAGTGCCCTTTTTTTCAGTTGCATAACAATTTACAAAATACACTTTCACATGTAATTCTCCCCTCTTCTGCTATTTTGCGCTACCATTCTTTCCATTATGTGTCCTGGCTTTTTGCACCTCATATTGTGGCAATCTAAAAGCCAGCCCGATGCAGCCACAACGGAGGCCTACCTGAAGGCCTCGATGATGTAGTACAAAATGGGAGAGGGGCCTGACGGCTCAGGCAGCTGCCAGGACAGCGTCACTGTGTTCTTGGTGACGTCTGTGACCCGCGGCTTGGACGGAGGTGCGGCCAGTGAGGACGGTTCGGGCGGTTGGGGTTGGCTCGGCACGCCGTTCTCTGCCACGGAAGAGAGAGGCGTTCAGTTCAAGTCAAGTTGATTTGGTGTAACCAGGGGAGAACTCGGAACAACCAGGGTAAGATTGTCACAATGACAAAAGTGAAACAAATGAAGTACAGCGGTAGTGCAAATAGAAATCAAAGAAAAAAATCAACCAAATCGCATGAGATGTTTGGCCGCAATGACCAACCACATTTCTCGGAGGCTCAACCTGGAGACATGGCACGTGAACTACCCTTCCTTTATTGGACCCGCCTACTTTGACAACCACGCCCACTCAGTCACCAGCCCCACCCACACAGGGAGTCGAGCATGAGGTCAGAACATGAAAAAGTTGGAATTAAGATTTTATTTTATTACAAATTCTCCAGGACACTGGGACAACCTTTTCTGAAACCGGGACTGTCCCGGCCAAACCAGACCTGGCAAAGCTGTGCAGCATGACCTGTGAAGGATAGACTCAGTGTCAGATGGACAGGCCAGATTGATCCATCCCAATGCTTGTTTGTTTATAACATCTGTCAAAAGGGCACCTTGTTCTTGATAGTGAATTTAACAAGTGTATTTGTCATTGTCTCTTTGTGTGCGACCACAAATACACACATTGCGCCAAGTAGTTAGCATTCTGTGTTAGAAGATTGCGCTACTAGAGGTCGATTCCCATTCATAGATAACGTCAGTGGCAAGTGGTACAGGAAACCTGTACCAGGCATCCCCTAGGTCAACTTCGCCTTAAACGAGTGCTGATGCTTTATATCTCAGCACTGGGGAGACAATGGTGGTTGGATCTGATGCTGTCCCAGCTTTAATATGTGCTCCCGAATAGCATGTTCCCCAAACTTCTGTATGGCTATAAGGCAATGCTTGATATCGGCGATAACAGTCCGGAACGCCGTACCAGGAATCATTTTGGCAGGCTGCATCCATCTCGCCTTATTGTGTCCTTATGACACTGTGGTGGTGTGTGCAAAAAAACTTGGGGTGAGCAGATGCCCTTAAACACAGTACGATACTTACATTTAACTTTCGGGTCCTTTAGATAAACTGTCTTTAATAAGGACATTCAAATGCCCGCGACATCAAATCACATGACTTATGTGACATCAAGTGCTGCGGGATATTATTGACTGAGAAATTAAGCGCTGCAATACAGTTTCCTCTGGTCTCCGCGCTGGTTTTATGTGCTGTGCTACAATATCAGCGACGTGGGCTCATTTACGGTCACTGCGTATATGCCAGTGACAACTGTTTTAGTGAACTTGGCCCTTTGTCTGACAGCCTAAACGAATACCTGGTGCTATGTGTCATAATCAGCTCTGGTTGCACAAAGCCTCACCGGACCTACAAGTGCTGCTGCATTGACTTTAATAGCTACTCACCTGGCTTAGCAGTCTATCCAGGTTACAATGATTATCCTTGTTCACTTAAAACATAGGTATCTTCGTGTTGGTATGTTTAGTGCAAGACTATCTAGATTAAGTGGTGGTACAGTAGCAGAAGACACAGCCGCATGTCAACTTGGGCTCCATTCTCGTGGGAGGTGCTAAAATGGGCCCTGTTCTTGCGGCATAACCGCGACCGCGGTTGCAGACATTCCGATCGTCATTTGACATGACATCGGACAGCAAAGGCTGGACCGGAGTAGTACCTCCCATTTGAATGGAACTGTTCTGTAATACTGTTGAAGGTAACAGCTGCCTTATCAAAATTAACAATGACTGCAATTAACTCAATTTACCTATCTTTTAGAACTGCGAGAGTCTCGTTTTTGACAACGATGTGGGCTTTCGCGACTGTTAGGGTAAAGAAAAAAAGCAGTTGCACGGTTTGCTTGGAAAGCGTGTGTCGTCATTTTAATTTACCTGGCACAATCCTCCTTCTCGCTGGCCCACCATATATCCTCGTCTCCCTCTCGAGCCTTCCCACTTTCCCCAGCGACATTTTCCCCTCAGTCTCCATCCCAAGATCAAAGACGAGGTCTGCTGGTCAGCTCAGAGCCATTGCTCCCCTTTTTCTCGTGGAAGCCGCCCCCGGAATCTAATTTTACCAATTGCGGAATGGAGGTGGCGCTTCGCCTGTATTCCCATTTCCCACATCCCCGCCTTCACGGGGGGTGGGGGGGGGACAAGGCAGAGATGCATGAATATTTGATGTGGCACACTAAGATGACATTTCCAACTTGCGTGGCAGCCGAGGGCTGGTTAGTGAGGTACGCGTGGCAGGGCTAGGAGCTCAGGGAGCATAATTCCCCTGACTCGATCAGGAAGGCAGCCTGAATTTAATCTGGCCAATTAATGCACGCGGTGCGACAGCACAACTGCACAGAGAAACCAAGTTCCTTCTTTCTTCGTATGGAGATGGGGGGGGGGGCGCTTAAGAGTGAAGTTGCAATAAGATTATGGGAACAGGAGGGGGAATGCCTTGGAGATGGTAGGAGAGTCGCTCGCATGGCAGTACGATGCAGGAGGCCCAGCGGTAATAAAGCACATAAAAATTCTCCACCGCATTCCAACATATCGCACTCTCTGGCTCGGAGCAACTCGCAGCACAATTTACTATGCCAACAGCGGCCTGTCATGGTTCACATTTCAGAAGTGCACTTGTAAACAAAGTGTTCGTGGAACGGCAATGAAAAGACAACGCAGGAGATTTATACAATATCTGCCAAATTTTGATTTAAAGCTTTCGTGACTGCAGGGATTCATATTCTTGGTACTTTCGGTAAAGTCACGTAGAAGGGAAACAATAAAATAATAAAAATATAAAACAATAAAATTATCACGACGTTTCGACTGCAACACAAGCAATCATCATCAGGTGTGAAAACCACAGCCTGAAAATTTGAAAAAAGTGGCCGTTTTTTTAACGTTAGCACCACGGAGAGCGATTTGGCAGTTATTCGGATGGACGAGTCAATTAAGACCATTTCGGGTCTTAATTGATTGTTCACGCTTACGGTGGCTTTCAGACTGCATCCATTATTTTCGTCTCCCCCCTCCTCTTTTCCGAACATAGATGGACTCGTCCATCTGAATACCCGCCAAATCGCTCTCCATGGTGCTAACGTTAAAAAAAATAAACCGCCACTTTTTTAAAATTTTCCTGCTGTGGTTTTCACACCTGATGATGATTGCTTGTGTTGCAGTCGAAACGTCGTGATAATTTTATTGTTTTATATTTTTATTATTTTATTGTTTCTCTTCTACGTGACTTTACCGAAAGAACCAAGAATATAATATCTGCCAAGTTAATGACAAGGTGTGTCTTCTTTCTGGAGGGTATTAACTCAGGGTGGAATTAGGTATTAATGTATTGTTTGTGATCGATTCTTACGCTCAGGATACAAGGATTGAATCATGCATGTGAGAATCCCAATTTTTTATGTATTTGTATGCATTGTATTTGATTAGTTCATGTGACACCTGCAGCCATGAGCTGCGCTACAATGCACCACGATGTGAATTTTCTAATAAAAAACAATTTTAGTGCTGAATCGTCACCCCAAAATCTTAACCGTTACAGGCCTTGCATTGACAGCAGCTCATAGGTAGGAGTCGATCTCCTATGCCTTGAACTCCTCTGTACCCGTTAACACTGCACGCATTCCCCATGACCCCCTGTGCTAAAAAGCAACGAATACCTTGAACGTCCATGAAGGCACTCCACGTTGTCTCCCCGCTGGGGCTCACCGCAACACAGGTGTATAGGCCGGCATCCATGAGCTGGCGAGGGGGGGGGGGGAAGGAGAGATTTAGCGACGCAATTACGTGGCCGCAAAAAAAAGCTCATTTCACAGGTATCAAAAAATCCCCTGCAGCTAAAGTGCTCCCTGGCCTAACAAAGCAGTGTGTGCACTTACAGCGAACATAGCCAGGAGATATATGCTGCCTCCAAGTCTCCCGTTTAGGAACAAGGCTATCAACTTCCCTGTAATATTCCCAAACCAATATTGGCTTCTGTAATAGCCTGCTTCCCAAAATAGCAGCGCAAGAAAGCTTGCAAATAAATAAACAAAAAAACATACCCGAGATCATACAGAGAAATGGAACAACACGGACACTCTGTTGATGTGTGAGGTTGATGCTGCTTCAATGTACAGATCTACAATGAGCAATCCTATCAGCACACCGCAGAGCAATTTGTTTTATATTCATTAGCAAATGTGGCTCTATCTATTCTTTGTCCTGCTAAACAGAAGGCAATGCTGTTAGAAAAAAAAGACCGATGAAATAGATCAAAAGTTGATTTTCCCTCTTTGAAGCTTCAACGTCCCATTATGCTACAATTTGGTTTTAAAACGTGCAAGGTTATTTTAAATACAATTTTAACAAAGGAATAATTACGTTACAAAAAAAAATATCACAAACAGTGCAAGTTTACCTCCATCAAAACCAGACGGCCAATGCATTTCAGAGAGTTCGATTTTTTCGAGCAAGGTCTACCGTCTTAATCACTCAAACTTGCTGGGCCTGACATTCCAACAGAACACAAACGCTTTGCTTTCAGCAAGCGTGCGGTACGAAGGGCTCGGTGTGTAAGGCTGGGTCTGGACCAGAGGGGGATTTTGGTAAAGGGCTTGCCAGAAGAAGAGAGAGGGCGAAATAAAATGTAGCGACCTACACCTCCAGCCACCTCTCCCGCTGTATCTCTCCCTATCCAACCGTCTCGCTCTCTTTTTTTTTTTAAAACTTCCATCTCTTCCCTGCCCTCTTTTTCTCTCTCACCCTCTCGTTCTCTCAATCGATATCCATTTTCGCCATGCGGGCTGTGCTTCTGGGCCTTGCTGCAATCCTAATTAAGAGGCTGAAAAAATGTTGTCGTGCATCATTATTATGGCCCAACGTGTGACGGATCCATTTTGAAAGCCAGCTATGCCTCCAGCAATGTGACAGAATGATTACATTAACAGGATAACATGCTAACTCCAAGCCATCGATTAACATTTACCGGCAAGCAGTGCCAGCAATCATTATTTTCATGCGCTTCTTCCTTAAAAATTTGTTTTGTTTATCCACAACGCAGACAGCGGAGGTGGCTGCGTGTGGCCGAATTTTGGCAGGGAAAAAAGCGGCGGGGTCGTTCCGCCAGTGACTGATTGAAGCCGACAGTCACCTCTAGGCGGTCGAGCACCCACATGCCCCCCCCCCCCCACCCCCGCTGTAACCTGCCCTCCCTCCACTCGAACGTTAATCACCTGTAGCTCTGCATTCAATCATAGCCTGTGGTACGTCGCCATTCACCGGTCGCAACCACACCTGCTACTCGCCGACAACATCCCATAATAGTTGCGGCACTTACGCAGCGCTGGCTTGGTCGGGGGAGGCGGGGATCATCAGGCTAGTGGCACGCGGTCTGTTTAAATTTAGTGTTTGAACACACTCACTTCGAGGGCCGCATTTACTTTTCATTTCATTTGAAAAGGCTGCAATGGATTTTCACGTCTGAATTGCATCATTCTGTGCATGGGCTTTTGAAGAGTGTGAGCATGCCTGAGTGTACTTTGGTGTTAGTAATTCTGTATATTTGTACACGGGTACATTCACGTCACTCCCGTCCGGGTCGATCGGTAAATGCACACCTCTTGTGTGGCGTGCCGGAGTGCTCAAGCAGAGTACCGCACAATTCATCCCACAGTGCTTTCAATAATCCTTCATCCACTCACAACATCCCAGGTACTCTTTTGCGATGAACAGGAAGAACAAGACCTCCTCAGTAACTGCACAAGAAAGCGTGGTACTTGCCCACGTCATTCGGTTGTCACTCAGTAGTTATTCTTGCCTCCGGGCCATCAGCCCACTTTACTCTTCCTAGCAGTCAAATGTATGTGCTTAGCATGTCCTGTGTATGCTTGGAATCGCACCAGAATGATGAGAAAACATTATTATTGTAAACATTATTGTTCTTAATATGGTATGCTACCGTGGTGTAAAAGTTCGCACATCTGACTTGCAATCTAAAGATTGCCAGTTGGATCTCCCAATGGGCAAGGTTCTTAAATCCTGTCTGCCTGTCGCTGTCCACCCCAGCAGCATGGATAGGTACGCCGCAGTTAGTCGATCAGCAGGTTAGGTATGGAGGGGTAAAAGTTGGGTGCTCCCACATCTTCCACGGTGTCTGGGCCAGCGTGAAAGCGTAGGCCAAAAATACCCCCTAGAGGGCTCCGTAGAGCTCCTTCTAATGGAGGCCCCCCACCGTGCTAATCGGAGGTGCGGGGGAAAGACGCCACACTAAAAAGGACAACGAATGTTATTCTACCTGAACATCCTTGATGCTCAGCGTGCCGCCCGACTGCAAGCCGAGCCGCGCGCTGCCCAGGCTGAGCTTGCTGCCATCCTTGAGCCAGTGCACGCTGGGAGTGGGCATGCCCATGGCCTGGCAGGCCAGCAGTGCCACCGAGCCCACGGCCAGCGTCTGGTTGGCCGGGCCCTGCCGGATGATGGGTGGCGGGCTGTCTGCCAGGGCTGGGTGAGGGACGACAGTGTTGGTTAGACATCTGGTAAAGGCGATTTTGGGGGTGGCGGGGGAAGGGGGGGGGCGGTCACATCGTCAGCAGAGTGCAGTGCAGAAAAATAAATTGCTGTGCTAGTACTTCCGTGTTCCCACTTCTGTGTTCCCCACATTCGCCGACACCGGCTGATCAAGTGTGGTCAAATAATCCCCGTGACAGGCATGGCGTGGGGGAGGCCCTCGTCCAGCAGTGGATTGACAAAAGGGCAGCACTATGTGCCAAAGTTCAATGATGGTTGCGGTTGGTTTCAAGTGCCCAGCGGTTGTAGTGCAACTAAAGCTCCCTGCTTCGGTTAAATAGTCGTGACGCAGGGTGACAACTGGATTCACATATCAACGTTTTTCAATTCTTAACATTGTGGTGAATGTAGCACCTCAAGTGTCTGCAGTGGACACGTGAATCAATTGCATACAATGCGTAGGAATTTGTAATATTTGATTTTCACACACAATTCGGCGCATTGTATTGTAAGCATAAAAATGTATTTTAATCCATGAATTTATCCATCCTTAGAGGGCTATTGTTAAGATTCATAGCGAATGTGGGCAACTATCAAATCGTGTTATCTACTGAGAATTAAACGTTACGCATGCTACGATGTAAAGATTTTCAGGATTAGGCTATTATGTGATTACCTCAGAGTCTGAATCCCAAATATAAATAAATATTGACATGTTATAGTGGAACAGTTATACCACATATATAACGTATAAAATTGGGTGGAACTTTGTTTTTTTATCCATTGCAAAGCAAGTGGCGACCAGGAGCCAATGACGAAAAGCAAATTAGACGCGGAACTCTCTCCAGCGCATCAACTTGCCAACGAAATCAACTGCAGTTGCCAAGTGTGTGACAGGCTCCCTTTGTGAGTGAGCTGAGTCAATGAAAACTCAAAGTGTATGAGAGCTCTTTCTAGACGAGTGCGGAACATTGTTTCGTCTCTCATTTGTCTAAGCGGAAAAGAGAGCGATCCCCAGGACCACTGCGAAACTGCCACAGACTATTCGTGGGACAGGTAGCAACCCTCGTGATATCCCTGTCGGCTGTGGCTCAGTATCTTGACATGGGCTCTGGATGGCCATTGTTTCTCTTTTTTTTAACTTAGCTTTTAAAACATATATTTTTGTTAGATCGTATCATTTCATGATTCGTGTGGAAACACAATTTGTATTTTTTCTTTTAATTGTCGTCTTTGCAGTGGCACATTGCCAGTTTGTTTTTGCAAGATAGCAGCGGTTGAACATTACCTGTGAGTGACCACGCGAAGCCCAGCAAATCAGAACATATCATGACCCGTTGCCGCCCCCATGACCACTATTAATCACGCATCACATCTCCACCGCACCCCGTGAAATGTATCCGAATTTCAACAGCGAGTGAAAAAATACAAGCAAAAAAATATATATGACTACAGTAATCCACTCTACATTAAATACCAAAAAAAATACACTCGTCACAAAGCGCTTTTAGCAGGCCGTGTGAAGTGCCCTTTGATAATGTCTGTGCACTTTCCGTGAATTTAAATGTTTCATTCACAGTGCCTGCGTTTAGTATTCGGAGGCAGCTGCGGCAGCTGCCTCCGAATACTGGATGCATGGTGATTGCTAAAAGGATGCCGTGTTTATTTTTCATCAGTATCGTGTCATGCTCGCCGGACGATCCATCAGGGCTTCTAACCTGCCATGTACCACTACAGGTATCATTGATGTTAAAAGCATGGGTGTGTTTTTCTATGAAATGAGCAGGAAATACACACACGAAACATTGTTTTCTCCCTATTCTCATTACGCACGTCTAACAGTAAAAGTGCTAAAAAACGTGACTAAAGTAGCCCGCCAAAGTGCAACTGGAGTAATGTACTCACACACAAGCACTCAACATCAATGCCTGGATAGAAAGCCTGTATTTTAACGCTACATGGCAGAAATACAAAAAAATATGAGCTGGGTATCAAAGACCACGAATAACAATGGTTTTGTACTTGGTCAAAAATCGCACATGAATCAACAAAACCACAAGAACCATTTTCCACTAAGTGGCAACGGCATCATCACTTGTCTCTGCGCCAGGCTAGGTGTACGTGGAGACCAACGTGGAATAGGACAATCATAGGACAGACCCAGGTGCTGTGGGTTAACAAGACTGGTGTGAATGATGGATGCATCAATTTCATTACCCAGCACACGCAGGCAAGCATACGCAAACACAAAGAATAAGGCAAAGATCCCCTGTATAGCCTGTAACAAACTTTTGGGGCAAGTGCTGTTTAGCGAGCACCTATGAAGGCCACCATAGCGCTCGAGGGGGTGGGTGGCCAGCACCACGCCCGGCCGCCTTTGTCTCCCCAGTGGCGATGTTTACACATCGCACCAGGTATTCATTTGAGGCTGAGTCGACCTAGGGGTGGTCCAGGACCAGTTCAGATAATCGTTACACACACTCGTACATACGGGAAGACATTGGCCTGGCAGTGTGAGGTCACTCACCATCGCCGACCTCCAGTAGGGCCTTGGCCAGGATGCTGCCGGCCACGCTGAGTGCCTGGCATGTATAGTAGCCTGAGTCCGAGCGCTGTACGTCCGTGATGGTCAGGTGGCCGGTTTGGGACACCGAGAATCGGCTCGACGGCTGGGATGGCTGGTTTGGAAACAGCAGATTCTGCAGGGTGTTTAGTGGGTGGAGGCAGAAAGGGGATTGCATGAGGGTCTTGTGGATGGCTGCCTTTTGTACCAAATGAACGCTTTTACTGCGGCTCGTGAGGGAAGGTCACACGATTTGAAAAATGAGGCTCGTGGGTTCAGAAAAGCGTGGAGTGTGGGAATACATGCTGTGAAAAGCATCGCATGGATTAAATTTCATTAATTCAAACCATTCAAACAAAAAAAAACCTAAACAGCTTAACCATAATCCCCTCCCTCGTGTTTTTTTTGCAACTACCGCAAAAACATTGGGTTTCAAGATTTAATGCGCTTTTGTTTTCGTACGTTCGTTACTTAGGGTTTTTCTCCCACCTAATTATATCACTTTCATAATTCCCCAAAAACATAATACCCCAAGAGAATAAATTGGCATCACTTTTAGAAAACGAAATCAGATTCTGGCAAACAATTACGTGAAATGTATTCCTCGAACAAATGCGTTCAATTTCAGTCAATGCACATATTTTTGCGACGGGAATTATGCTCCCTGCACCTAATTGCGGTTTCCGTATTTGTAATTGCACCAGCACCGCGTTTACCTGGCTGCCCTCCCGTTGCCAGAACACGGCAGGGGGTGGGTTTCCCGTCGTCTCGCAGAGGAAGGTGGCACTCTGACCCTGGGCCACGATCTGGTCCCTCGGACGCACCACGAACTGGGGCGGAGCTGCGCGCAAAAACACACGGATTTAAAATAAAAATCTAAATGAAGTGGTCAGTGCGCACACACACACACGCACATGGGGATGGGTTAATGAAACATGCAGAACACAGACACAGCGAGACGTGCATGCGCACGCAAACACACACACTGTTTGCTTGCTGGACGCAAGGGGTCATTTGATCACGAGGCTGAACACATTTACAAATGAACAAAAAGTAGTTATTGGGCTTCTCACTGCTTCGTGATCGCTCGCGGTTTCTATCGCATGCAGATGAGCACGGAGTGAAGTGTGCACGACACTTGTGCAACAGCACACATTATAGGCACTCGAGCTAATTCAAAAACACTAACACACCAGCAAGAGAAACACTTACAATCAAGCCATTCGCGCAGGCCACTCCGCAGATGAATTCAAGTGCTGTTCCTCACTCAGTGGCTGATTTTAATGTTAATTGCCAGACATTAGAATTTAATTAATGGATCGTGGAAGCAGAGCAATCACATTAGTGCGAGTGCTCGATTTACACGTGTAAGGGTCCCGGCGCGTGCAGGATGAAAGGACGCGGCTCGCACACGCACACACGGGCGCCAGTTTGTGCGCCGAAATGATAAAAGCCATTTACACGGGGAACAAAACCATCCCTGCTCTTTCCGTGTCATTAGCGCGACGCAATTTACATAATACATCTGATGCTCGCCCCGGCCAGGCTTGACACATCCCCTGTCCCCCCTGGACTCCGCGGGGAGCGAGACGGAATATGGATCATGCCCGGGATAAAGGAGGCCCCGTTCCGACAGCGACCCCACGCCACTGATGCACATTAACAGCGCACTGATTAGGGGGAACATGCAGCCTTGAGTGAAGAATGCCATTACAGAGGGCATCGCCGTGAGTCAGTGACCAAACACTTTGTAAAGTGAATGAGAAATGAATGAGACACAGCTGTAAAGAACCTTCTTTACACTGGGTATAATTATTGTGTTTATGTACGTTTAGGATAAACTGCCGTGCTGGCATGTCATATTTAATGTGTACATATCAAGTATCGTATATCACTTCCCACATACCGCATATATTAGTTGTATGTCGTACATATATATCTCATGTTCATATATCATGTTTATGTCAGTCATGCATCACATCTGCACACTACACAATGTAGATATACTAATACAGTACCGTATATGTCTGCCCGTATTTTATGATTTGTATTATTGTTTCGGTTGTATAAAACACCTAAACTATACGGTGAATTCAAAAGATTACAAAATCCCATGCCTTAAATTGACGGGCGGCAATTTGGGGCGATACCATTAATAGGAAAAGCACAAAAGGGAATGACGAATAGTCGTTGGTTGAATTCCACCTATAAATGAGCGCGCGTGCAATTGGAAAAAAAAAAAAAAACAATTTTGCTGATTTACGGAGGCCGTGGGTGACAGGGAAGATGTGTGAGCCGCCGACAGGGCTTCCTGGGAGGTGCAGGTCACAGTCTGATTTAAGGACGACGCCAATGTTGGGCGGCCACGATCCCCTGGCTTATCTCGCTCACACACCGGACTCTCGGACGTCGCTGCTCATGGACAATGAAATGGAAATGGTCACTTACCATACGGACGGACTGGGTGGACGAAGAAGGAGGAGGAGGGGGGGGGGTGGAGGAAAGGGAAACAAAACACAGAGAGACAGAGGGGGAGGAAAGGAAAACAACAAAAACAAAAAAAAGGAAGATATGATTACAATGGGTAATGGATAATGTCGATGTCTGCGTCAAAAAGTTGATGGCGAGGTTGGTGACAAGTAAACGGCGTGCCTGCCGAACACAGACAGGGCTGTTGTAATCGTCAGCTGTTGTTGTGATCACTCTCAAAACTCTAGCACTCGCGTAATGCAAATGGCTCGATGACAGCGCATGGAATTTTTTAAGAAATGCCAATGTATTTATTTATTTATCTACCGTGTAGGCAATGTACTTGTCCACATGTGAAATATTTTTCTTTTTCGTGTACAGTGTTTAACAATAGGCAACAATTTTCCAACACTATCGATGGTGCAATGGTTCATGCTATGCGCTATGAACCTGGCAACCCCGAGTTAAATTCCTGGCCATGGCTAACACCAGAGGCGATTGTGATCTAGATCTTTCCTGGGCATCACCTTTACTAACCCACTGACCAGCGTGGTGAAAAACGGTCAAACACATGATAAAGCACGGCATGGGGAGGCCTTCATCCAGAAATAGATTGCCAAAAGCACCGTAAATTTAAATTATGGCACAAAATGTTACGTCCAATAACGCACATGATACGCGGAGTGTGGTTGTGTCGGTGCGGAGATGTTGTGACTTGGTAGTGTCGACGCGCTAGCTTGCGTTTGAGTGATCGCCGCTTTTGCTGAGCGGTGCAATCATGTGCCGCACTGGTGAGATGTACCCACCAGGGCGGCGTGTGGATGTGGTTGAACGTGTGCTTAGAGTTGGTGGGGGGGAGTTGGAGGGGAGGACTGGGGCGATAGCGGGGAATGAGCTGTACCGTGCACCACGAGCGACGCCGATGCCTCAGCTTTGCCCACACGGTTCTCGCCAACGCACGTGTACGTGCCCTCGTCCGTGCCACCCACACGCTCCACACGTAGCGTGTAGTCGTCCTGGATCTCAAACCTGCCACGCCATGCCATGGCACATCATGTCACACCGTGACACGCCGCACCGCGGTGTAGCATGCCCCAAACACGCCACGCCACACCATGCCATGGAGAATCCACGCCACATACTATGCAACAACTCAGCAGGCCACGGCCAGAAGATACACCACGTCACATCACAATACACAACGGTACCCAAGGCAAGGCCATATCATGACACGCCACACCACGGTGGAATACCACGTCACACCAGTGATGTGGCCTCGACGTAGCAGTGGGTGTTTGAGATCTTACGATTTAATTCGCAAGAGTAGGCCATTGTGTGCCAGTGTTATGGTCCACATTTGAAGAAATTATTACCACCCAAATTACTCATTTGGGATTAAACATAGCAATCATTGCCCCAACCGTAAAAAAACTTAGCAGGGCCCTCGTGAATACATTTACAACATTAGGTGAGGCTTTATGGCTAAACAGGCATAACAAAATATACAAAACACGATGGTATTCTGTTCCATGCCATATTCAGACTCAACTCATCCGTTCCATCTCATCTCAAACAATGGGCTTTCATGGCTTTAAACATGGGCTTTGTTGTTGCGTTTGAAAGGATTTTCATTGAATCCATTTATTTTTTATTTTATTACGTGGTCAAAACGTAGATAAATTAAAATTATGGTAATGGAATAAAGGCCAGCCAAATTAAACGCTGAAAGAAAGTACATTTTCCTCCAGTGTTTATATACAGTGAGGGAAAAAAGTATTTGATCCCCTGCTGATTTTGTACGTTTGCCCACTGACAAATAAATGATCAGTCTATAATTTTAATGGTAGGTTTATTTGAACAGTGAGAGACAGAATTACAACAACAAAAATCCAGAAAAACGCATGTCAAAAATGTTATAAATTGAGTTACATTTTAATGAGGGAAATAAGTATTTGACCCCTCTGCAAAAACACGACTTAGTACTTGGTGGCAAAACCCTTGTTGGCAATCACAAAGGTCAGACGTTTCTTGTAGTTGGCCACCAGGTTTGCACACATCTCAGGAGGGATTTTGTCCCACTCCAAGTCATTAAGGTTTCGAGGCTGACGTTTGGCAACTCGAACCTTTAGCTCCCTCCACAGATTTTCCATGGGATTAAGGTCTGGAGACTGGCTAGGCCACTCCAGGACCTTCATGTGCTTCTTCTTGAGCCACTCCTTTGTTGCCTTGGCTGTGTGTTTTAGGTCATTGTCATGCTGGAATACCCATCCACGACCCATTTTCAATGCCCTGGCTGAGGGAAGGAGGTTCTCACCCAAGATTTGACGGTACATGGCCCTGTCCATCGTCCCTTTGATGCGGTGAAGTTGTCCTGTCCCCTTAGCAGAAAAACACCCCCAAAGCATAATGTTTCCACCTCCATGTTTGACGGTGGGGATGGTGTTCTTGGGGTCATAGGCAGCATTCCTCTTCCTCCAAACATAGCGAGTTGAGTTGATGCCAAAGAGCTCAATTTTGGTCTCATCTGACCACAACACTTTCATCCAGTTGTGCTCTGAATCATTCAGATGTTCATTGGCAAACTTCAGACGGGCATGTATATGTGCTTTCTTGAGCAGGGGGACCTTGCGGGCGCTGCAGGATTCCAATCCTTCACGGCGTAGTGTGTTACCAATTGTTTCTTGGTGACTATGGTCCCAGCTGCCTTGAGATCATTGACAAGATCCTCCCGTGTAGTTCTGGGCTGATTCCTCACCGTTATCATGATCATTGCAACTCCACGAGGTAAGATCTTGCATGGAGCCCCAGGCCGAGGGAGATTGACAGTTCTTTTGTATTTCTTCCATTTGTGAATAATCGCACCAACTGTTGTCACCTTCTCACCAAGCTGCTTGGCAATGGTCTTGTAGCCCATTCCAGCCTTGTGTAGGTCTACAATCTTGTCCCTGACATCCTTGGAGAGCTCTTTGGTCTTGGCCATGGTGGAGAGTTTGGAATCTGATTGATTGATCGCTTCTGTGGACAGGTGTTTTTTATACAGGTAACAAGCTGAGATTAGGAGCACTCCCTTTAAGAGTGCACTCCTAATCTCAGCTCGTTACCTGTATAAAAGACACCTGGGACCCAGAAATTTTTCTGATTGAGAGGGGGTCAAATACTTATTTCCCTCATTAAAATGCAAATCAATTTATACAATTTTTGACATGCGTTTTTCTGGATTTTGTTGTTATTATTCTGTCTCTCACTGTTCAAATAAACCTACCATTAAAATTATAGACTGATCATTTTTTTGTCAGTGGGCACACGTACAAAATCAGCAGGGGATCAAATACTTTTTTCCCTCACTGTATATATTTATATTTTTTACCAGTATCCTTATTCTCTTTTGACCAAGATAAAAAAAATACCATTCGAAAACGTCTTGTAAAATACCACGAAAAACACACAGAATGTTTTAACCATGAACCACTGATTTCATAGTTCATTACATAAGCCAATTAAATGTTCAGTTTACACACAAAGCCACTCATGCACATATCCGCTTCCCTTTCATGGGCTGCCAGTGCTGCGTGAGTATGGCGAAAAGAGGTTGCAGCTATGTCTGCTCTGTCGGTGAGATGTACATTCGCCCCAGGTTTAATTTTGCACCATCACTTCCCCGTCGTTGCCCATCCGCACGGCTAAGCGAGAGACGGTTCCTCAGCGATGCCGTGGGAGCACTTTCACCTCTTCCGTGAGGAGTGATTTCAATGCATATGCTCCGAGGAGAGCCCTCGTCCTTAAAGCTGTAAGCCAGAGTGGCCAGCAATAAGATTCCTAACCTAACCTTTTCAGTCGGCCCCCGGGCAGCACTTTAATAAGAGCAGGTGCTTTAAGTTGTTCCTCCATTCCTGTCCCTTCGCGCCAATGACAAGAGAAACCCGACAATAAGATTTTTTGCACCTCGCCCTCTTCTCATACCGCCCGCACGGGTCAGCGGTTTTGGATTGGCTCAAAACATCATAAGAATATTATATTTTCCCCCGACCCGCCCCCGTCTTCCTCCTTCTCCCACAACTATCGCCTCACCGTCCTTGGGAAAAGGCCTGAATGTGCATTTGGAGAAAGTGGACTCGTCAACAAAAAGGCTGCCAATCTGTTTGGCTGGGCGGCGTAGGAGAAAAAAAAGAGCAAGGACGTGAGGAAGCAGAGCGATGTAATTAAGAAGAGAAAAGAAAAAGCTGCAACATTGACTGCATGAAAGCATGACTTTTTTTTTATACAACAACCGCAATAAGTGACTGCTCTGCGGCTGAGCGACATTTTACGCAAAGTGAATATTCTATGCTCCGTGCGGCCGCTCGGGGTTGACAGAAGAGGGGAGAGTGAGAGAGAGAGAGAGTTGGGATGGAAATTCCCAGGTCCTCCGGTGCCTCATCTTACCTGCCCTTGGGGAGGTCTCCATCCTCCTTCCTCCACCGAACTGTCGGCGGGGGGTCGCCGTGGACCTCGCAGCGGAACTCCGCATCCGAGTCGGCGAGCATCACAAGGTTCATCGGCTTTCGTGCAAACGTAGGCCGCTCTGGGGATGCGTCCGGGTGGGTGAGACGCAGGGACGGGACGAACATCAGTGAATGGATCAGCAACTCAGGTCATTAAAGGTCAGGGTTAAATATTCCTGAAAATCTGGTTCTGAAGAAGTGGAGGAATTTTGAAGGATTCTAAATTCCCATTACATATTTTGGGAGGTGATAGATACATGGGTAATTCATTTGTATCACATAAGAAATGATAGGTACAATGCAAATTATGTTTGATGTTGATGGGTAGCAGCCTCAGTGGCTGGATTGTCAGCCAAGACCTGGTGAAGGATGGAAATTAGGGCCCCATTTCTGCATTCACCCCTGACTGCAGCCCAGCGCCCTGACCACTGTGTCCCATGGGCCCCGGGGCGGTTGCACCGCTTGCACGCTCGATAGCTACGCCACTGTATGAATGTATGTTGAACTTCTTATGCACCCTACGTAGCCAACCATGCTAATCGGAGGTGCGGGGGAAGGATAACAAACTAAGCACAAAAAGAAGAACGAAATAAATTAGTTTTCAATGGAGATGATTTAAAAGTGCATAGCTCCAGTGTTTTCCGAATATCAGAAGGAAGAGCGTTCCAGACGGTCGCAGAAGCACATCTGAAAGTGCGTGACACAGTGACCATCCTTGTTCGATAGCCAGTTAGCCCACAAGCCACTGCTGCTGCGATGATGACCGGAGTTCACGCGATGATGGTTTGTGTTCCCTGACAAGATCGGCGAGGTATTGCGATTCATTTGCAGTAAGCACATGTGCCGGACCCCAGCAGTTCGCTGCAGAGTCAAGAAGTGTTTGGCCGGAGGGGTTGGTGGCACGTACCGAACACAGCGAGCTCCGCCGGTTCGCTGTCCCTCTCTCCGACCATGTTGGTGCCGACGCACACGTACATCCCCGCATCTGCCTTTTGCGTGTTCGAGATCATCAGCTTGCCTCCGCGGATCTGCGAGGAAGTAATGCACAAAACAAGATCACAGGGCGGACTGCAGGAGTGGGGACAATTGAATCATCCCAAAAAAAGGCACACGCATGCTGCAAAAAGGTGGTAACAGGCTGCCTGGAGTGGAACCTGGAGTTTGCTTTGGAAATGAAACTCTGGCCCAAGAGAGCCCTGATTATCTGGGGTTGATTGATGTGAGAAGTTTTGTGAATGTTTTGAAGATTGCAAGGTGCAGCTTATAACTTCTAAAAAAAACCCCTGTGTTCTGTCTGCCAACAAGGGAATCAATAAAAACGGGTCAATGGAGCCATTCCTCTCAAACAAGCTTCTAACGCCAGGTCTGTCAGGCCTGTCTGGGTCAATATAAAGCATCTTCTGTTTGTTTCACTGAGAATTCATCGTCAGAGTGGGGAAAGAAAATTAACTCTGATATTTTATTGGATATTTACCCCAGGGGATCAAAGTTTTGTGGTATAAAAAATGAGCCAAGATTTTGTTTCAATATATTTACAGGTTTTTTTTTTTTAAAGCATAAAACAGCATTCCCTGCATCAGTATTTAGTAATGGCACGGATAAAGTGCAATTTTGGAAAGGCATGATACTGGACAATCTGCATGGATAACGCATTGGCTGGTATGCTTTCAGCTGTCAATGCTATGCCTGTAATAATAATACACTTGTAGGTAAGGCTTGCTTTGACTGTAAAGGAATATAGCAGAGCAATGATACCGGGTTCCCATGAGCACCTAACAGCCCACTTGCCAAGTTCATAATCCAGGCAAATGGGCTATTAGAGCTTAGGTTCTCACGGCAGTGAACTGCCAGCTCTACCAGGCCATGTAGCCTACTTATGGAGCTCCCTTTACCAGGGGTGAACTAATTACTTGATTGACACTGCAGAGGTGCACTAGCACTAATAATAATAATAAAGTCAACACATTCATCTAACTCACAGCCACAACCTGCTTTTATTGTAAACATGAAACAACTGCAGATGGTATGTAAATATATCATTGCTCAGAATATTCTAAGTTGATGTTGAGTATTAATGCGATGGCACTTTGAGTGGCACATTCGTGCCAGAATGGTGCCATGTATGTAAACAAAAATAAAATTGACTTGACATGCCTTGACATTCGTCAATAACACTGCACCGAGCCCGTTGAATCCATGTTGGAATAAGGCCTGAGCTGTACCGAGTCGTTCTAGGAACGTTCCGTCAACGACCCAGCACAGCTCAGACACACACCCGTGGAACCTCACGCTGCGTTTCCACCGGTGTTCAACAACAACAACAACAGCAGCCGCCGCCATTTGCCACTAAGTGGCGGTGATGTCATCACGGTGCTTAGTGCCAGGCTAGGGCGTTCAGCCCATGTCTCACAAACTTTAGCTGTCAGATGTATCCCCTTGCATGCGTGGCTTTACTTTGGCCATTGTGATTCACTCGCACGTGCACAAATGCTCGCGGTAAAGGGATTGGGTAAATGTCACAAAGGTTTTGAGATGATTAGCGGTTGGGAATTCTCATGATCCTCTCACCGCTAGGTTAGTCTCTATGCGACCAACTATTTGTTGCTCTGCAATATTTGCATGTTGCCCGTGGAAAATAAATGTGACATCTGTCAAGGTAGCATGTTGAGCGTTTACACCATGAACCAAATGGTCAGACCTTGAAAATCGGCAGCAAAATGTAGTTAGGAAATAAATCTTCCTTAACTGCCACTAATGAACATCACATGGCGAATATGGCACGTTGTATGGCCTCTATGCAGCAGAAATAAGCTTGAAATTTAATTCGTAAAGTGCATTATAAACGGCCACATTAAAACGTTGCTTTCTTCGCTAATCAGGTAAGCAAATTGGAATGTAAAGCAGACAATGCACACCGCTGCCCATTAAGAGGTCATGTCGCTGCTCTTATCAGGTGGTCCGGAAAAAGAAAATCCCTCAATGGTTTCATAGCAGAAGAAAGGTGTAATCCACTCCTGCCTAACAATAGACCAAAACTCACTGGCGTCCACTGCTCCCACAATTAAATAAAATATTCATATCTTATGGCGCTTTGAATGCGCAAAGACGATGCATGCTTGGAATTACACCGAGAGACAGACAGAAGAACACGTGGATCAATGAACATGCCCAAGTTAGAGGCATCATATTGACCGTTTAGAAATATAAGTGCGCTTGTGCAGGACAAGTCATGCCTAGACGGGATGATAGCCAGTTGTTGAGACTAACAGTGGAGTGTGCAGCCAAGGGAGGGAACAGGCCTAACAGCGTGTCCACCCGTGGGGATATAGCAATGAGATTGGCCCTCGTGTAGCAGGCTCGGTGGAGTGCAGCATCATCAGACTGTGAGGGACGTCGATGGCTTAAGGAGGCAATCATCAAGCAGTGGATAGATAATGGCTGCTGATGATGGTAATTTAATAGCAAGGAAAGAAGTGCCTCGTTGAAGGTACGTGAAAACGACGATCGTGACAGATGCATCCGCTTGCCCCGGATGCATCCACACGTTGTTACAGTCTGGGCTGTTGGAACATATCCTTCCCCATATCCTGCGTTTGACCAGAGCCACGATGACAGATATGGCCCTTTCATTTCAGTGCCGTCCTCCCGGTGTAATGTAAATTTACCTCTCGTGTTTTCACTTCAATAAACGTGCGAGTTTAATTAGGCTCCACTTCCTGGTTCAGGTGGCTGCTTGGCCGGCCGGCCCGGCGTGCGAGGCTGTAATGTTGACGCCTGTCAGTGGCACCGCATATCCCAGAGCCTAAAGCTCCAGGGAGCTGGGATTCGAGTCTCGGGGGCTACAAATGAAAAATGAATCTTGTCTCCACAGTCTGGGAATGTTTTAAAGGCGCGGGCGAGGTTCACGGTTTCAACACGCTCACCGGTGAACTCATTAAAGGGAGGAAAAAAGAAAAATGGTCGCAAAAATAGCACTTGCTTTGTTGGGATCATTTTTCGAAGGTATGCGATTAGCGAGAGTATGTAGCTGGCAATTACTGTGTTATGTGTTACTTTTATTCTGGAGCAAAGTGTTTCATGAATTCAGAAGCCAAAACGTGCTTTGTATGGTGAATTAGAGTGCCCAATCTGCAGTCAAAGCTCTTCTGGGTGGTGGAGTTGAGAAAGATGGAGCCTCAGTAATGCAACGAGAGTTCTACGACATCATTAATGGTAAGACAAAGTGAAAAAAATCAATGTCGAAATGGATTATAACCCTGCTGTGCTTTCTCTGCCCACAAATGCGGTTGCTTTATTGTCACGATTGGTAACAGACGTGTGTCAGTGGAAACGCACAACCCTAAAAACAGCTCCATTCAGAGCGTCAATTTCTGTCTTTCCTCGAGGGCCACCTTCCTGGGACACACGACAATCTCTCGGACATGTACGCACACAAAGGTAACCGTGTGCATCGACACGTATACATGCCTGATGGTGATTAACCAGCCGGGTCACCTGGTGCTCTTGTAGCTATTTATAAGTTGTGTTCCTCGTTTTTATTTACTGGCTTATTAGCTGTTACTCGGGCCAATCTGTCCGCACTTCTCACTCTCGATACGACGCCGTGGGAATTCCGGTCGAGTGAGGTGCACATTGATTCCTTATGATCCCTGCATTGGCGCTCGCTGACAATTCCCGACTCTGCGTCGATAAGCGCATCAATGCCGTGGAGGGGTGGGGCGGGGGGGGGGGAGCTATCTCTCCGGCGAGTGTGTGCTGCCCCCCCTTCTCTACCCCCACGGGGCCGCTGTGCCATACCGTCACACGCTCGTCCTTATCCGTGAGCGCCACCCCGTTGCGTTTCCAAGACACGGTGGGCTCGGGGTGTCCGCGCGGCGGCAGGCACTCCATCACGGCCGGCTCCCGGGCTGCCACCACCACGTCCGACGGGTTTTGCCGGAATTCGTCTCGCAGAACTACGACGAGTGAGAAAGAGAAGAAACGGAGAGATGCGTTCAGAAAACGTGACCTTTGCTCTCATAATCGGAGGGTGAGGGGGGGGGTGCGGGGTCAGTTGGCGGAGAGAAAAGTGTGACTTGACCGTCGCTACAAAGTGGTCACATTGCCCGTGTGCGTCCACTATAAATGAGACATTCTAATGCACGCCTGTGATAGGAAGGCAAAGGTCATGAAAGTCGTTACATTGAATGCCATGCAGCATGAGCGCAGCCCATAAAAGCAGCCGCGATGTTATGATCACAATCGACTCATCAAGGTCAAGAGCACTTCCGAGGACATTTAAACTCTAACACAGATAGAAGCGGGGGGGGGGGGGGGCATTATCCCACCATAAAAAAAAACACCACTGTAATAACGACGACGACGACAACAACAGCAATAATACATGTGCAATAACGGGACCGCATCCTGGGTGACTTGCCCCGAGCCATTTGACAGACAGCCTCTCGAAAAACAACAATAAAGGAGGCTCGTGTAGCGCGCGAGTGACGGGCTCATCCTCTGATTAGGGCCTCTAATAACAGGGATTCACCCCGGCGGCACTGAGCGGCACGAGTCATTGATTAAAGATTCCGAGCATCTGTTGGCTGCGCTTGCAGGCCGGATGCGGGCCGGTGGATGAGCGCGAGGCTGAACGTTTCGCGGGGCGGTTTATTGAAGCCCATCTGTTGTTGGTTTTGCGGTGGTGGGGGGGGGGGGGAGTTGCAGCCCTGAGGGCTGGGAAGGGCCCGCCCATCTCTCGCACAGCGATAAACCGGCCCCGAGCCACGCGGCCGGAACGGGGGCCCGGAACCCACCCGGCACGGCACCAGAGCCCGAGGAGTTCGCGGAATCGACGGAGCTCGCGAACGGAACGCACGTGCCGGGGTGGGGGGAGGGGGCTGGCTGGCTGCCGCGCGCCGCGTTTGTGCGGCCAAGCTGGACACGATCCGCTGGGCATGGCGCATCTCACGGCGGCGGTCTCCAACGCCGAGACCCCCGACGGACCAAGAGGCTTCAAGGGAATGTGTGAAGATCAGCTCGGGGTAGCGCCATAAGAGCAATGCGCTCGAATTTTTCACGTCGCATTCCATAAAAACAAAAAACTTTTACGAAATTACGTTTTGGATTTCTTCACCTTCTTCTCAAAACGGCCCATTTGGAACGCTGAACGGCCCCCTTTAAACGATGTTGAATGTGAGAGGCCCGCTTTCCATTTCTCATTACTCGCTCTTTATGAGAAGTGCAGTCTCCAAGGGCCCTCGGGCTTTGCGTGTATTAGCAACTCTAATATATACAGTGCATTTCCAATGCAGGGCGCTGACACCACGCTCTCTGGCAGAAGCGTGCACGCGCAAGTCAGCGGCCGGCACCCAGAGTTGTGCGCACAATTAAATGTGGCCCGTGTTACCTTATAACCTCGAAAGGTACGGGCTTGATTTAAAAATTATGCACGGCGGGAGGAAAAAAATATTGGAAGTGTGCGCAGAGTCTGGAGACGCGGACAAGTTTCTACCGCCTTCAAAGGCACGCACAGGAAGCCTGTGCAATAATAATAATGATGCCGTGATGTCATTTGGAGATAGTGGAACAACCGCTGTTGTGGGCGGTCGGCTCTCGGAGCTGGGAATGCCGCATGCAAGCACTCACACGCACGCGCGCGCGCGCGCACACGGCCACATCATGTGTGTGTGCGACCCGATTTGAATGCAGTTCATTACAATTTTCAGATTCAACCGGTCGACCCCCGCTCCCCCGCTACAACACATCACCCAACCACCGCAGACAGAGCGGCGGGCTGCATCTTTTTAATGGCGAGGATAATCCAAATGAGATTAGTTCAAAATGCGGGCTGTACACGCGGCCTTCACCACAAAAATAAGAAATGACGGGGGGGGGGGGGGGTCACAGATGGACCTCTCCACCACCAGCCAATGGTGCCACCAGGCAGAGATTATTTATTTATAGCTAATTAATTATACCACGAGGCTCCACAAGAAGGCGGGCGGGATTAGGCAGGTGCTGGGTGGGATTATCCGAGTCGCAGCCCCGCTCACACCCTCTATGCTAATTACCGCCACACATACGCCTAATGTCATGTACTAAAGGCAATATTAGGGGAGATACGATCAGCAATGATGCGCTATTATGGTTGTAAATCCCTCCCACCGTCATATCTCCGCCCGAACCTGAATTTAAACCGAGGGGAAGCTGGACCGAGGGAGGCTGCGATAGTCGGCTTATCGCCAGAGGCCAGCAGAGTGAGGGCCTCGAAGCTCGCCAAGCCCACTGACCCAACTCACTCCACCTCTGATGGACAGTTCCATTAACACTTTCACTGGACTAAAAACACCCCACATTTAAAAAAATATATATATAAAATGTAGTTTTCGAAGTGAAAATGCCATTGGAACGTCAAACTATTTGGGGCGCTTCAGAATATTAGTCTTCATAAAAAATGACTTTTGGAGAAGAAAAATTTAAACTCCCAAAAAAAGACTTTGCCAACTTTAGGCCCTTGGAGTCGGAGGAGACGCATTTGTCACATTGGCCGAGTTTTAAAATTGCACATGGTGCTGGAGCACTTCCCTGCAAAGTCGAGTAATGCTCACAACTGTGTCCGTTACTTCACATTTTCTAAAAAGACAGCTCCTTGACTCGCTAAGTGCACTTGGCTCACGGTCGATGGCGGTAGGCGGCGAGCACCACGGTGGGTCAGAAAAGAACATGGCATTCCACTCACTACCCACGGCTTGCGGGGTGGAGGGGGGGGCCTGCCAGCACCAGCGCTGCCCAACCCAAACCCACTCCCCTCCCCACCAACTCGGAGGGGGTCCCATCACGACAACTCACTCCTTTCGCCTTGCTGACTCGTCCACCCTTTACTCCCTCACCTTCTCACTCACACCTCACCACTCTGATGCTCCCCGATGCCCCCACCTCCAATCGCCTCCACCCCCCACCCCTCAATTCGTGTTCGCATTACATGATGGTGCTCATACAGTCTTCCTCTCTACTCAACAAAATGCATTTCTTGTAAATCCCAAGCTTGCATTCAATTCTAAATCCCAAGCTTGCATTCAAAGTTAAATTGCACAATTTAGACAATTCTGGGAAGCTGCCGGTGTCATCTTTCATAAAACAACAGATGAACATGAAAATAGATTTTTTTAAAGTGATCTTTCATCCAAGCAAATTTTGATTCATCCACCGCTGTACACAAACCCATGTAATGCGCCTTTTAAAAAGTGACCAGGTACAGACGTCACCACGAGCAGCCTTGCAGGAATGCATAATACCATAACCACAAGTGGCTGACACATTAATGTACTCGACTCAACGGGGCTAATGAATAAGTAATTACGTGTATCTGGAGCAGCGGGGATGCAGTGCGAAAGCTTCTGCCTGGCAATGCTACGAGTGCAGGTTGTGTGAACATTGCCACATGCTCCAGCCGAGAATTAATTCAATGCTTTAAATGTAAGCCTACGTAAGCTAGTGATGATGGTGGCATGTGGATTAAACAAATATATCCGTTTTCGCTTTGATCACTGCCCAGCCGTGATATAAGGAAGTCGCATAAGGCCAGGGAAAGGTTACTTTACGTACAGTGATTGTGAACAGGTTTCATTTAAAAAAATAACAGCCACAATTATGACTATGAACTAAGAATGTTAGTTGACCTTCGAAATCTCATATCAATATCCATTTATACAACGGAAAACGAACCATGTGGTATTAAAAGGTGATTTACAGCCCCTTGCTTAAAACAAAGACAAAGATCTCCCGTATAGCCTGAACATGCTGTTGGGGCAAGTGCTGTTAGTGAGCACCTGTGAAGACCGGCGCAGCACACGAGGGGGTGAGTGGCAAACACCAGGCCCTTTGAATCCCGAGTGAACGATATTTACACACCACACCAGGTACTCAATTTGAGACTGAGCCGATCTAAGGGAGGCCCAGGACCGGTTAAAATAATCGTCAATGGTGTTGGCCATGAGCGGTAATTGAACTCGGATTGCCGGGTTTGTAAAACAACGCGCTAACCGTTACGCCACCGCTCCCACACACACACAAACATTCATAGAATGGATCCACAGCAATATGGTTGAATGCCATCCCACTTGTTTAGAGATATTAAACCGATAAAAAAATATTGTAAGCAGGGGTGCCAGGGTCTCACATTGCAACAGTAACGTTGGGGCGCATGCGTTGGGGTTCATCCCCTTAGTTATGACCCCACCAGTGTTTTTTTCGGGCCAGTGCTGGCCAGACTGTTGCCACGTTTCCACGGCCACTTTGAAGCGAGCCAGCCCCAGTTTTGGAACTGAGCCACTGGGTTCCCACGGCAGCCTTCCTGGGCTGACTCGACTCAGGTTCGCAGCGGCACTTCCTCGCTTACAGAAGCATGCAATCGGGCCCAGTACCTGAGCCACGGACGTCATGGGGTCAGCACTAACGGGACGATAGCTCAGTCGATTCTTGCTTGGGCTACGATCGCCTCATCCAAATGTTAGGGAAAGAATGAGGAAGGGGGGGTGAGAGCTTCGGTTGGGGGAGGGATTAGAGTCTTCTTTTTTCCTATGGCTGATGTAGATGCAGGGCGACAACTACAATTTCACATTCAGGTGGTCAGGCCAGACAATCGCGTCAAGAGTAGCGGAGTGTATCACTGTGATGTCTCCTTCGTATTTGCGGATCAGGGCATTGCGTCGTTATAAGCTGTACGGTCTGTTCTGGATGAACAGAGTCGAACACTGCACAGTTTAACATTTTTCATTTGTGCATCAGGTATCCGCATCTGCTGCCACGGTTTGTGCAGTGCTTGATGTGGTTTAGGGTGGACCGTGAGCGTCGTGGAAAGATCAAAGATTGGAGTGGGAGGGTGCCGAGGCAATGGCGCTACGTGGTCATGAAGGGTCGGGACAAGAAATTAGTTCATGTCAGGGGCAGTCGCAAGAACAGTTTGGCACGGCTC